TGACTCTACATCTAATGTTCTTATATTTAATGCCACATCAGGTCATCTCTAAGAATCCAGACAACCCCCATCAGGCAATTTCAAGGACCCTTGCATCACTTTTCCCCTCAGAGTTTTCAAGGTTTCCTTTCCAGTTTGTGAATTTTGTTTACTTCTCTTTTTTGTAAATAACTTCCTCCTTAAAATATAGTGCTTCATTAACAGTTAAGTGCATGTTTTCTAACCTTTTAAAATGTTTATTGCAGGGTGCAGTGTGGGGCAGGTTGTGGAGAGATCAGCTATTTCTCCCGGTGAAAGCCAGGTCCCTTAGGTAGCCACAGAGGATAAGAAATTAATAGGAAATAGAGAGAATAAAAGAATATTCAGAGACGAAGGTATAGTTTTATAGGTTTCTATAAAGCAGTTAAGATAAAGCAGGGGTACTCAGGAGTCTACACTACTCTCTGTCAGTAGTGCAGCCTCAAGGTTAGAAACACATAGGTTTTATAATCACAGATACCACCATGTTTCCCTGAAAATAAGAACTACCCATAAAATAAGCCCTAGCAGGATTTCTAAGCATTTGCGCAATATGAGCCCCACCCCAAAAATAAGACCTAGTGATGGGCGTGGCTATGCAGCGTTATCTACACAACCCATGCATTTTGTGGCAGAGAGATAACGAAGAGGAGCAGCCCTTCTCATCTGCCCCATCCTGACAGCTACTACCCCAGAGGTGACTGGAAAGGTGAGGGCAGCCCCACCAACAAGGTGGGCTACCCCTGTCAGGTCCCGGCCAATGGTTCTAAAGGAAATAGAGTCCCAAGAAATTCAGGATGGAATTTGGGGTTTGGAGAGTTATGATGATGTTCCAGAAGAAGACAACTTAACTATATTCGAATAAATGTAGATTGTTGTACCGTACTTAAAAAAAATAACACATCCCCTGAAAATAAGCCCTAGGGTGTCTTCTTGAGAAAAAGCAAGTATAAGACTCTGTCTTATTTTAGGGGAAACATAGTATGTAAACTGTTGCGCATAGCTCTAACTACCTCTGCAGAATAAATTTTGGAATTGCATTTGTCATTCAGATAAATTTTTGAAAGTGCAATTGCTGGACAAAAGCAACTTGAATTATTCTTAAGAATGTGTACATACTAACTATTTCCTACAGGAAAGAAGTGTCTCCTCTTACCTTTGATCTCTATGAGGGCCATCTCCTAAAGTGAACAATGGAAGCCCACCCTTCAGCTTTGCATTCCTTGGGCATCAATCCAAGGCATCAATCCAACTCCTTAAGGAAGAACTCCAATCTATCAACCCTGAGAAGGAACAAGTTTACTTTTTACTTAAGATACATTTTCATGACTTATCCTGTGTGAGTTACTGTTGTAAGTAAATTGCCTGTATTGTCTCAATTCATCCTCACAACAGCAACAAAAACGTTACGTACTATTATTATTCTTATTTTACACATAAGGAAACTGAGGCACAGAGAAATTGGGTAACTGGCTTAAGGTCATGAAGGCAACCCGGCATCTGAGTCTGTGTTCCATATTGCAACCCACTCCATATTGCAACCTCTCCTCACCAATTATGAACTTCAGTGTCTGAGACGTACTAGATGGTAGGTTCTCAATAAAAATTTGTTGAATCAGTGGATTTGTTTCTGTCCCATTTCACATCCGTTTGTCCCAAGACTTCTGTCCCAGGGCTTTCTGGAAAGGACTGATGAGAAGTGGTCATATGTAGGGCTATATCTTTTTGGAAACTACCAAGGTTAGAGCTATGAAGTGTTGGGCTCAGAAACTTCTTTTTTTGTTTTGTTTTCCCCTTTTTTTTTTTTTTAAGACAAGGTCTTACTCTGTTGTCTGTGCTGGGGTGCAGTGGTGTCATCATGAACAACCTCAAATTCCTGAGCTCAAATGATTCTCCTGCCTCAGTATCCTGAGTAGCTGGGACTACAAGCATGTGCCACCACATCTAGTTAACCTTTTTATTTTTTTGGAGAGACCAGGTCTTTCTAAGTTACCGAGTCTGGCCTCAAGGGATCTTCCTGCCTCGGCTTCCCAAAGTGCTAGGGTTACAGGCATGTGCCACCAAGCATGGCCCAGAAACTTCTTTCATGAAACTCAGCACCTTGGCTGCTTCTCCATGTCAAAGTAGCCTGGATTCTCTAGCTGGTAGTTGAATGTTTCATTCTTACTGTAAACACAGAACCAACCCTATCCAATTCAACTTTGTGTAATAAAATGATGAGTTGTTTTTCAGTTGCCATGGATTCTAGGTTGAAGATCATGTAAGCTGAGCATGCCCAGATGAAACAAACCTGCACCCATGTGTGGAACCTAAGTGTTTTCACCAAGGAATGCTGACCGAATTAAGAAGCCAACATCTCATTGCATGATCCACGAGCCATTCAGATCAAGCACAGCATCATTCCTCACAGCATGATCCAGTCAGGTCATGCCTCCTAGCATCACATCATTGCAAGATTCAATCAGATCAAGCCTTGTTCCTCTCTTCCTATAAAACCTGCCCCAGATACCAGTTCAAGGAGACAGATCTGAGTATTGCCAGTTGACTTGCAATAAAGCCCTTCTCTTCTTAAAAGTGGATGCCACAGAGTATTGGTTTTTATGCAAGTAATGGAGAGAGCCCAGTTTTTACTTGGTGACATTACACATATAATTTCAGGCAGCAAAGCTTCTAATAGATTGTGAATTAAAATTAAAATAACCAAGCAAACAAATAAATAAGTACTGATGGATGTATAGGGATGAACAGAGCAATGGATTACCATAAAGTAACAAACAACCTAGGTGGTATGTATATTGCTATTCACTAAAAATTCTTTCACCTTTACTATATGTTTGGAAAGTTTCATGACAAACTAGCGAGGAGGGGAAGGGGGAAGGGAAAAATTGTGTTTCCTGCTGATAACAGAGGCCAAAAGTATTATTGGCTAAAACAAAACAAGAGTTTATTTTCCTGTCATGTAAAATGAATGTCCAGGGCTAGTCTGGCAGCTCAGGGATGTCATCCATGCCTCAGCCTACTCTACCTTCATTCTCTACTGTCTGAGCACCTGGCTTCCATTCTCAAGGTTGCCTCATGGGCACAAGGCAACTTCTGCACCTCCGTGTCCAAAGCCTATGTAATAGGTACGGGGAAGAAGGAAGTAGGGAGTAAGTGTCTCTCAGCGGTTTCAACCTCCCCTTTTAAGGGTATCTGGGAAAAGCACAATCCTACAACTTCACCTACAAACCATTGGCTCAAATTTAGTCCCTTGATTTCCTCTGTCTCCGCAGGAAGACAACATTGCCATACACAAGAAAATTAAGCCTTAATGCTAAGAAAAACTGGGGAATGGATAATGTACAAGTGACCAGCTATCTTAACCACAGAGCCTAAATTCAAACTGTTGTAATATAATCAGATTCCATCAGCCCAAGTCATATCTAAACCCTAGCAGCTTTGAGGATTGTATCATTGTTTTATAAACCAAATAAAGTGTCTTGGGAGGTCTTAGGCCACAGGTAGAACTAGTTTGTCCCACAGATCTTGTAGAGAGACAGCATTCACAGTCCATCTAGAGTCTAACCTCAGAGACTACATAATCCACTGGCAGAGTGAGAAACAAAAACAAGCAAAAATACAAGATAACACAAACAAGTAGCTGAGGGTGAATGAAGATTCTCAGAAACAGTGGCAGTAAGAATTTCCTGAAAAATGTAAAACATGCCAAGCATCACTGACTCTAGAAACCAGAAAATTATATTATTTGGTCTTGGATCCTAGACCTTGATACCAGAGGTGCTTAAAATGGGGCAGTGTGTCTGGTTTTCTTTCCATTCTTACTTTCATTAGGCTCTCCTCCTCCTCCTCCATGTATCCATCTACATGCAAGCAGATGTTAGTAAATATCACAGCAGCATTTTAATTAATACACATTGTTTTCTGTTCACACATTAAAATCTTTTTCTTTTCCTACTCTGGTCTGATGACGTTTCTAGCATGATATAAAAGACATAAGACAGGTGAATATGAAGAAATATTTATATACATATACCCACAAGAAAGATTCGAATAGTAACCACAGAGAAACCCAAACGCTCAGAGTAGTAGGGCTGGAATTTTTCTTCAATATCATGTTTCCCCAAAAATAAGACATACCCATAAAATAAGCCCTAGCAGGATTTCTAAGCATTTGGGCGACATAAGCCCTACCCCGAAAATGAGACCTAGTGATGGGCCTGGCTATGCAGCGTATCTGCACAACCCATGCATTTCGTCGTGGAGAGATCAAGAAGAGGAGCAGGCCGGGCGCTGTGGCTCACGCCTGTAATCCTAGCTCTTGGGAGGCCGAGGCGGGCGGATTGCTCAAGGTCAGGAGTTCAAAACCAGCCTGAGCAAGAGCGAGACCCCGTCTCTACTATAAATAGAAAGAAATTAATTGGCCAACTGATATATATATATAAAAAAAAAATTAGCCGGGCATGGTGGCGCATGCCTGTAGTCCCAGCTACTCGGGAGGCTGAGGCAGGAGGATCGCTTGAGCCCAGGAGTTTGAGGTTGCTGTGAGCTAGGCTGATGCCACGGCACTCACTCTAGCCTGGACAACAAAGTGAGACTCTGTCTCAAAAAAAAAAAAAAAAAAGAAGAGGAGCAGCCCTTCTCATCTGCCCCATCGTGACAGCTACTATTCCAGAGGTGACCCAGAAAGCTGCGGGCAGCCCCACCAACAAGGTGGGCTCCCCCTGTCAGGTCCCAGCCATCCTGTGCGTGCTGCAAGCTGAGGCTTTGAGAGGAAAATAACACATCCCCTGAAAATAAGTCCTAGGGTGTCTTCTTGAGGAAAAATAAATATAAGACCCTGTCTTATTTTAGGGGAAATACGGTATGTATAATTCAATGTACCTTACTTTCAGTTTTCCTTCTAAACTTCCCCAGTGATTTCTGCCCAGCAACTGATGCACCACCTCTAAGCCAATCAAAACACTAATTCTTCCAAAGAGGAACTCTGTTGCAGTTTCGTCTTGAGCAGATGAACTCTGCTTGCTTTCTTTTTCTTTTCTGCTAGATCAGAAACTACTAACCATAATGAAAGGATGAAGAACTACGGACAGCCGTTATTCTGTGGGTCGTGATTTTCAGATGGAAATACCAAGGGGTAAGTGAGGGAAATTGATGAGAGCCAAGGCTACAGGGCCTAGGAGGAAAGGGTCGACAAGCTGAGAGTGGGCATGCAGGGAAGTACTCGGACAGAGGAGATGGGGGTGAGGAGGGTGTGTGCGCACGCATGCGCATCTGGGCACGCAGGTGAGGGGAGTGGTGCAAAGAATGAGGATTTACAGAGATTGGGATTTGGTGGATTGAAAGGGAGACAACCTGAGAGAAGAAAGATTCCAACTGCATGTTCTTAAGAATGTATCATGGTCAGAAAGAAGCAAAGGACCCTAAAGTCTGTTCTGGCCATGACAAGGCATCTATTCTAAGAAATTCTAAAAAGAAATGTGCCCTAAAGATTTATATATAAATATCTGCATTTCAGAACTATTTATTGTTTACTATACGGAAAAATCTGAACCAACACGCATATACAACAGGTGGGAAATGGATAAACAATGCATGGTTCAGTCATAAAAGAGATTTCTGTGCAACCATGAGAAATCATGTTTTTAATGAAGAGTAATTATAATTTTGAAAACATTGGATTCATACATTTCACTTTGGTGTCTTTTAGGGACAGTATCTGTTTTTCTTTTTGTTCTCCATTTCCCCAAAACCTAAAGCATGCTTTCTATGGCTACAAGCTCCTACATTATATGAATATACCATTATTTATGTAACTCTTTCTGTATTTGGGATATTTAAATTGCATCTATATTTTGCTATTGTAGATTTTAGTAAGTTAAACAGCCTGAAACATGAATCTTTGTGTTATTTCATGATTTTTTTTTCTTCCACACTAATTGCTACACGTGGAATTTGGAGGTCAAAGAATACAATAGTTTTTAGGCCTTTGCTATATACAAGGGCTCTCTGGAAAGTATGCAGGCATTATTGGTATTATATAATGTTTTATTTATTTACTTGAGACAGAGTCTCACTCTGTTGCCTAGGTTAGAGTGCTGTGGCGTCAGCCTATCTCACAGCAACCTCAAATTCCTGGGCTCAGGCGATCCTCCTGCCTCAGCCTCCCAAGTAGCTGGGACTACAGGCATGTGCCACCATGCCTGGCTAATTTTTTCTATTTTTTAGTAAAGATGGAGTCTTGCTCTTGCTCATGCTGGTCTCGAACTTCTTAGCTCAAACAATCTGCCCGCCTCGGCCTCCAAGAGTGTTAGAATTACAGGCTTGAGCCACCATGCCTGGGCTAATGTTATATTGATTTCAACAATGGCTGGGTACTTTCCAGACAGCCTTGCATATATGGCCAGAATATGTCCAGAAATATTTACATTACCACTAGCAAATTATATGATTACCACTACAGATAGTTGAAAATTGTATTTCTTTATATTTTTCTTCATTTTCAAAATTGTCTATAATCATGAAAAAGAAAAATAAATATCCAAAGAAAAATGAAAACTAATTTCTCTGAAGGCAGCACAGAAATTGTTAGGTCAGGGACTAAAAATAATAACAACAGTAAGAAGATGCCTCCCCCCCCCGCCCCCAGCAGCAAAGAGAGCAGTTTTGAGGAGCAAAAGATGTAGTGAAAGGCAATGTTTATTCTGAGATTCTGAGGATGGGTGCAGGTCCCAGGCAGGGATCAAAGGACAGCCATCTGCACAGACCTCTGTCCCTTGCCTCCTCCTCACCCCTTCCCCCACTTGCAGACCTTGTTTTCAGAGGCAATTGCCAGACCCAGGTACCCCCAGCAGCGGGTACCATGACTGTGGGCCTTGTGCTCCCTTGTTTATGGGAAACTGTTGTGGAGTTAGTATTTACTGAGCACCTAATAAGTTCCACTGACTGAAATTACTCATAACAATAATTAATTGTTAAGTAGTACATGAAGTTTTTAAAATTTAAAACATTAATATAGTTTTAAAAGTAATGAGAACAAAAAGCCAAAGTGTCCCTTCAGTCACCAGATCTCCAATCTTCAGTTTAGAATGCATCTTGTTACACCTTCTTGAGATATTTACATATACAAGTATGTACAGATCTATAGCTTTCCTTTTGCTTTTAGATAGAATGATTAGTACAGTTATGCAATGTGCTTTTTGATGTATGTCTCAATTATCCAGGTGAGTGACAATAAATCACTTTTTAACTGCTGCATTGAATTCCTGCATAGTGATGAAGCACCATTCTTCTAACCAGTCTCCTGAAGGTGGCTGCTTCTGTTGGTTATGACTTTTATGCTTTAAAAAATAACAATTCAGTGTCATTCTCACACATGCTTTTCTCTGCACTCATGAAGATACTTTGCTGGACTAGATAATCAGGCAGTGGAATTGCTGGGCCAATTGTGCACATTTTAAATTTCATTTTTTGCAGTATTTTATGAGCGATTAAAGTACAGATAGATTGTGTCACATAACTGAAATTACACAGCTTGTGAATCATAGAGCCATTGCCTACCCTCTTTTTGATGCCAACACCTAACATGGTTGGCCCTCCCCCTGTGGGTGCTTACTAAACATTTGTTGAATGACTCAATGAAGGAAAAAAAGAAAAGATGAGCAAGGTCTGGTCTTAGTGACAGCTCTCTGGATCACTACCCTTGTGATGAACAAGTAGGGGGTTGAGCCCCTGATTGACTCCAGAGCCTCCAGCAGGGAGTCTGCCTGGATCCTACCCAGAGTCTGTTGGGCCATGATTTGACCATGGTGATGGCTCAGAGTTGGGGCCTAGAGGAGTCCACAGTGTTGCACACCCACAAATGGGTGCCACAAGTAGAACCAGGGAACCCAATGAGGACGGTTCTGCATTAATCAGAAGGTGATAATGGAAGCTTGGACCTGGTGAAGCAGGGGAACTATGGAGACGGGATAGGTTTCTAAATATTTTTAAGAAGTAGAGTCAAGGATTTCCTAGTGGATAACATATGTACATTTATCGTATCTGTGTTTTTGTGGGTGATTTTCCATGTTGGAACTGGAAAGTTAAGAGACTCTAGGGCAAATAAATTAAAAAAAATAAAGTAAAATAAAATAAATTTTAAAAAGATATATTCTAAGGTAGACATTTTTGGAAGAGTTAAGATTTTCTTGGGTCACCACACATAAGTTAGCACTGGGGAAGTGGAGATTTCAGTGTGGAAACCTATAGCTTCTTCCAGGGCATAGTACTGCCTAACCCCTTCTGATGTCCCCTGATATGCAGCACAGATGAAAATGGCAAGTGGCCTGGCTTTCCTTCTGCTCAACTCCCTTGCCTGCCTCATTTTGGTCCAGTTGCTCACTCCTTGCTCAGGTAGGTATGATTCTGTTTTTATGTGTGTGAAGCAGACAATTACCTACTAATGCCCACTTAGATCCTTTGAGTCCTTCCACATCTGGAAGTTCCACCCCAAACTGAAGTTCACATGCCATTAAGAGACAAATGACACTTCTGTTAGGATCCTGTTCCTCTCTAGGTTCTTTATACCTCTCCTTCCCTGCCAAGGAGAACCCTTACTCTGATGGCTCCATGGCCAACACCCTCTGATGGTGCTTTTCCCCTTTGCCGACCAGCTCAGTTTGCCGTACATGGACCCCCTGGGCCCATCCTGGCCATGGTAGGTGAAGACGCTGATCTGCCCTGTCACCTGTCCCCGACAATGAGCGCAGAGACCATGGAGCTGAGGTGGGTGAGATCCAGCCTTAGGCAGGTAGTGGCCGTGTATGCCGGTGGAAAGGAAGTGGAAGACAAACAGACCCCAGAGTATCGCGGGAGAACTTCTGTTCTACGAGATCACATCACTGCAGGGAAGGCTGCTCTCCGAATACACAATGTCAGAGCCCTCTGACAGTGGAAACTACCTGTGTTATTTCCAAGATGGCAACTTCTATGAAAAAGCCATCGTGGAGCTGAAGGTAGCAGGTGAGCCCCCGGGTTTTGCTCTGAGGTTGTTCCTCTGTGGCACTTGGGCAAGAGCCAGAGCACTGCTGGCTGCTCCCTGGGAACTGCCTGCACTGTCTTCCTACTCAGCTGCTTTGAGACCCTTGAAAAAGGCATAGGTTTTCCCTTGGGAAGAATTCCTCCTCTCCCCTACGGTCTCAAGTAAAGAACCCCCACGCCCCTACTCCTGGCGCCCAGGGGTCTGAGAAGGGAATCAAAGGACAAGGGATGGGAAGGATAAGAAATCATCTCAGTGACACGTACACAGTCACTTTGCTTTGGTTTAGTTGTGTACCGGATGGTGTCTGTGGGCTCAGCAGGTGCGCCGACCGTGGGCCCTGGGAGACTGAACATAGGGGCTGCATCTGCTGCTAGTGTTCTCCAGCCAGTGACCCCCAGGAACACATGTGCAGTGGAAGGAGCTGTGTTTATTATAGTTGCAGCAAGGAAGAACACAGACTGTGGAGAACTGTGGGTGTCTCAGTCAGAAGGTGTTAGAGAAGACTTGGTATAGAAATTGGGCTTGGGATTTGGGGAGGGTCTGCAGAAGTGGGCCTCTGCTCTTGATTAGATGCTGTCTGGTAGGTGGGAGGGGGGTTAATCCTGTGAGTGGAAACATTAATCAGTCTTTTCTAGGAGGAAGGAGTCTAGGGCCAGACTAAAGCTCTAATTGGTAAAAGGAAAACAGTCCCTCATTGCCAGTGTGGGATGCTTGGCTATTACTGTGATTTAGGCAATGTTTATATCTTTCTCACTGTTCAGACGAGGCTTTCTCCCCTCCTGTCTTGGGTTTATAGGTGAGTGGTAATAGCCCCCCTGGGGCACTGCACTAGCCCACATAGCTTTCCCCTCACTGTGACCACACTATTGCAAACAGCTCCTGAGTGAAATCCTCCTTGAATGGTCTAATGTGAGTGTGTTGTTGATTCTTGTTGAGACTCTCCCTGATGCAGGAGGTCCCACAGATTTAGACTGTTTTATCCTTCCACAGCACTGGGTGCTGATCTCTACTTGGAAATGAAGGGTCATGAGGATGGAGGGATCCATCTGGAGTGCAGATCCACCGGCTGGTACCCCCAGCCCCACGTCCAGTGGAGAGATGCCAAGGGGGAGGTCATCCCGGCTGTGGCAGCACCTGTGGTTGCAGACGGAGTGGGCCTGTATGCAGTGGCAGCATCAGTGATCATGAGAGGAAGCTCCAGGGAGGGGGTATCCTGTACCATCAGAAATTCCCTCCTCCAGCAGGAAAAGACAGCCAGGATTTCCGTCGCAGGTCAGTACCCTGCTTCCCCTGTGCTGAGCTGAGCTGAGCTGAGCTGTGGCTGTTGAAAGTGGGGCAATGTGTGAGTCTCTGCAGTGAATGTAAGGCCTGAGGAAGGGACCTGGAGCCTTCTCCTTGCTTTCCAGGAGCTTGTCTCCCCCATGAAGCTGTTTATGCCACAAATATTTGCTGAACATTTTCTGTCTGCCAGAAACTGTGGCAGGTAAAAGAGAACTGGGGAGAAATGGTTAGGATAAGATTTTTATCCAAAGCCAAATTTCAAAATGAGAAAGAACATAATTATTTACAACATATATCCTAGAGAATGAATCAATTTGTTTGATACATAAGGAGACTTAAAATAATCTAGTAACAATTTAAGAAAGGACATGAATTATTAGTTTATGGAAAAAGACATAACACACAAAAAAATGCCCCATCTCACTCATTAGAGAAACATTTTTCACTTTTTCATTTCAATAAATTTAGGGGGTACAAGTGGTTTTTTTGAAACATGGATGGATTGTGTAGTGGTGAAATCAGAGCTTTTAGTGTACCTGTCACTAAATAGTATACATTGGACCAGATAGGTAGTTTTTATTCCCTCACTCCCTTCCTATTCTCCTCCATTCTGAGTCTCTAAAGTCTATTATATCACTCTGTATGACCATGTATACCCATTGCTTTGGTCCCACTTATAAGTGAGAACATGTGATACTTGTTTTTCCATGCCTGGGATACTTCACTTAGCATAATGGCTTTCAGTTTCATCTAAGTTAATACAAAAAAAAATCATTCAATTTTATGGCTGAATAGTAATCCATGATATAGATAGATGATAGATAGGTATAGATATAGATAGAACACATTTTCTTTAGCTACTCGTCAGTTGATGGGCACTTAGGTTGGCTCCATATCTTTTCAATTGTAAATTGTACTGCAATGAACATACGAGTGCAGCTGTCTTTTGGATATAATGACTACTTCTCCTTTGGGTAGATAGCCAATAGTGGAATTGCTGGATCAAATGGTAGGTCTGTTTTTAGTTCTTTGAGGGATCTACATGCCATTTTCCATAGAGGTTATACTAATTTACATTCCCGCCAACAGGGTATAAGCATTCCCTTTTCACCACATCCATACCAACATCTGTTGTTTTTTGACTTTTTAATACTGACCATTCTGATAGGAGTAAGGTGGTATCTCATTGTGGTTTTAGTTTGCATTTCTCTGATGGTTAGCGAGGTTGAGCATTTTTTCATGTTTGTCATCCATTTGCGTATCTTCTTTTGATAAATGTCTGTTTACGTCTTTTTTTTTGCTTGCTGATTTGTTTGAGTTCTTAGTATTTTCTGGATATTAGTCTTTTGTCAGATGTATAGTTTGCAAATATTTTCTCCCATTCTGTAGGTTGTTTATTCTGTTGGTTATTTCTTTTGCTGTGTAGAAACTTTTTAGCTTAATTAATTACCATTTATTTATTTTTGTTTTTATCGTATTTGCTTTGGGGTCTTAGTCATAAATCCTTGGCCTAGGCCAATGTCCAGAAGAGATTTTCCTAAGTTTTCTTCTAGAATTTTTATGGTGCCAGGACTTACATGTAAGTTATTAATCCATCTTGAGTTAATTTTTGTGTATGGTGAGATATAGGAAACCAGTCTTATTCTTCTGCAAGTGGCTCTCCAATTTCCCAGCACCATTTATTGAATAGGGTGTCTTTTTCCCATTGTATGTTTTTATCTGCTTTGTCGAAGATCAGTTGGTTGCAAGTGTATGGTTTTACTTATGGGTTCTGTATTCTGTTTCATTGATCTGTGTCTACTTTTATACAAGTACTATGCTATTTTGGTGACTATAGCTTTGTAGTATAATTTGAAGTTGGGTAATGTGATGCCTCCATATTTGTTTTGTTTTGTTTTATTTTAGTTTTTGCTTAGGATTGCTTTGGTTACTCTGGCTCTTTTTTATTTCCATATGAAATTTAGAATTGTTTTTGCTAATGGTGTGAAAAATGATGTTTGTATTTTCATGGTAATTACATTGCATCTAGAAATCACTTTTGGCAGAATGCACATTTTAACAATATTGATTCTTTCAATCCATGAGCACGGGATGTTTTCCCATTTGTTTTGTGTCATCAATGATTTCTTTCCTCAGTGTTTTATACTTCTCCATGTAGAGATCTGTCATCTCCTTGGTTAAGTATATTCCTAGGGTTTTTTTTTTTCCCCAGCTATTTTCAATGGTATTGTGTTCTTTATTTAATTCTCAGCTTGGCTGTTTGAAGTATACAGAAATGCAACTGATTTCTGTACATTAATTTTGTAACATGATACTTTCTTGAATTTGTTTATCAATTCTAGGAGTCTTTAGGAGGAGCCTATTAGATATTCCATATATAAAAACTTATCATTGGCAAACAGGAATAGTCTGACCTCCTCTTGTCCTATTTGCCCTTTATTTCTTTCTCTGGTCTGATGCTCTGGCTAGGACTTCCAGTACCATGTTGAACAGAAGTGATGAAAGTGCATCCTTATCTTCTTCCAGTTCCTAGGGAATTCTTTGAACTTTACCCCATTCAGAATGACGTTGACTACAGTATTGTCACATATGCTTTTTAGTAATTTTGAGGTATGTTCCTTCTGTGCCTAGTTTCTTTTTTCTTTTTCTTTTTTCTAGGCTCTCAGCATGATGCCTGGCTCAAGCTGCTCTAGGCTCTGATGCCTGTGTGATTCCATTGAGTTCCCCTTTTGGGACAACATCTCTGTGCAACCTCCAAGTAGCTCCCTATGTTAGGCCTGAGACTTGTGTAGGTTGAGGGGGCTCCTTTGTAGACAAGATTGTAAAGCACATTTTGGAGAGTAGAGCCCTGAGGGCTTCCCTATTATTGTTTCACTCTATGCAGAAGCTTCTCCCAGAAATTAGCTGGCCCTAGGCCAGGCACATTGTCCTGCACCCTCTTCTTGCCCACTTTTGGTGCTTTCGGTCACTTCCCTGGTGAGTGCTAGCATTCTCTTTTAGGCAATCTGTTCAAATGTGAGAATCTGCTTACTCTTCTGGTGCATCTCTATGGAGGAAGCACATGCTACCTGTGTCTAGTCAGCCATCTTGATCCTTCTCCCTTCACTGATGATACTGGCAAAAAAACAAAACAAAACGGAGGTGATCGATAATGTATTTTGATCACAAGAGTGTAGGGAGGCAGTAAATGTCAGGCATTTACTGGTGTAATTTGTTGTATTCTTGGTGTACATAAGCACAGCCTCTATTGGGGGCTATATAGCACTATCTATCTGAACTCCATGTTGATTGAACCAAAAGTCCACTTCTGGGAATTTATCTGACAGATGGGGTTGTGTTTGTACAAGATGAACTATGTAAAAAGTAATTTCTTATAGTACTGATTAAGGTTATATAAGGTTAGAAACTATACAAATATTCACTGATGGGGAACTTCCATACAAGGAAAAACCACACAGCTGTGAAGAAAACAGAGATAATTCTCTCTATACTGATATGGAAAGATCTCCAAGATACACTCTACACAGAGAAAGCAAGAATTCATAACAGTGTGTATGGAGTGCTATCTTTAGTGTAAATAAGAGGCAAAATAAGAATATATTTCTATTTACATTTTTTACATTTAACAAGCAATTACTTAAAACTCACTATATGTCAGGCACTTCATAAGCATTAATTCAATCCTTCTAATCTCCAGAAGTAGGCACTATCATTACCCCATTTTACAGATTAGGGCACTAGGAACACAGATTAAAGAATTAGTCCAGGATCACACTGTTGATCAACATTGGAGCCCACATTAGAACACAGGCGCTCTGGCACCAAAGTTCATGTTCTTAACCATCGTATTAAGCTGACTAATGAGAAGCTAATAAATGAAGGGAGGGAAGGAGGGAGTAATGGGTGAGTGGGAGACTAAGGTGGCTTTTTATATATGTATTTTTTAACCATATAAATGTATTGCCTATTGAAAAATTAAACAAGAAAAAATGTTATGACTGTGCTCAAGTCACTCACTTTCCATGGGAGACGCAGACATCTCAAGAGAAGTAATGGTAGTAGGTTGTAGTAAGGGCTTACCAAAGTCTTATCCAAAGTTGTCGGAGACTTTAGGAAGAGAAAGGTTGTTTAACCTCATGAGACAGTTTCCGTGCCCCCCTTCCTGGGGGAGCAGCTAAAGCTCAGGCTGCGGGCGGGGAAGACAGAGGCACAGGCCCCTGGCCCACAGACCATCCCTTTGCAGACCCCTTCTTCAGGAGCGCCCAACCCTGGATCGCCGCCCTGGCAGGGAGCCTGCCCATCTTGCTGCTGCTTCTTGCTGTGGCGGGTTACTTCTTGTGGCGACAACAAGAGGAAAAAAAGACTCTGTTGAGGGAGAAAGAGAGAGAGCAAGAGATGAGAGAATTGGCACAGAGTGCAACGAAGCAGGAACGAAGCACAAGAGGTATCTGGCCCCACGAGGGAATCTAAGTGCCTGGGTTACAGGCCTGAGCCCGGAGACCTCACCCACATCCCCACCTTCACACTGGGTGGTTTTTAAGGTTTGTTGTCCAGAAAATCCCCTCTCCCATAACACTTCATTATGTTTTCTGTTTATTTTCCAGAGAAGCTCGAGGAAGAACTCAGTAAGTTACTATTTCCCCAGATACCCAAGCATGTCTTCCTATCCCTGCTTTATGTACCTTGATGACTCTTCCTTGTTTATTCCATTTCAGAGTGGAGAAAAATCCAGTACATGGCTCGTGAGTGGTTTTGACACTTTCTCTGAATTCAAACCTATGACTCTCTTTATTTGGATATTTTGCAATCCTTAACTCTTTGCCCAAGGTTGGGAAATGATCCTAGATAACTTTGACCAGGAAAAGAAAATCATCATGGTATTCCAAGTTATAGTAAAAAAAGGGGGGGGGGGTGGCGGGAAGCAAAAAGGAAAATAAGTGTATTTCATTGGAGTGATACCAAGAGGGGTCTCTCTCTCTCTCAGAAAATAGGCTATCAGTCACTGTCCACGACAGGCCACATACTCTTTAGCCCTGTAAGGTACTGCAGAATATCCATGGTACTGTAAGGTACTGCAGAATATACACTTGAAAAGGAAAGGGTAAAAGGAAGATGAAGTGCCTTCTCTGTGCCAGGAACATCACAAGTTGCTTTGCATCATCTATAAGTTGCTAAGAAGGAAAGAAGGGCCAGGCGTGGTGACTCACGCCTATAATCCTAGCTCTCTGGGAGGCCGAGGCGGGTGGATTGCTCAAGGTCAGGAGTTCAAAACCAGCCTGAGCAAGAGCGAGACCCCGTCTCTACTATAAACAGAAAAAAATTAATTGGCCAACTAATATATATAGAAAAAATTAGCAGGGCATGGTGGTGCATGCCTGTAGTCCCAGCTACTCGGGAGGCTGAGGCAGCAGAATCACTTGAGCCCAGGAGTTTGAGGTTGCTGTGAGCTAGGCTGACGCCATGGCACTCACTCTAGCCTGGGTAACAAAGTGAGACTCTGTCTCAAAAAAAAAAAAAAAAAAAAAGAAAAGAAGAATGGAAGATAATAAGGAACAAAAAAATCAGAAGTGAGGCAGAAAGAAAAATGTCTCTCATAAACAGGAGGAGCTACTGTAACTGAGTTAGCACAGATAAATTATAACTGCTTTAAAAAATTAGTCCCTGAAATTTTTTTATTAAGTCCTCCAGATTCTATTCAGAGGAAGAGGGAAAACAATAGAGGTTGGGACAGATGAAACTTGTACACATATACATATACATATACATATAGACATGGTAACACATACAACATGTATAGGAGTACAGACACATATAAAATAGATCAGTTGGACCACATCAAGAAGTTCCTCACATAGTACCTGTGGTGTCACTGCATTCAGATGATGTTCCTCGAACTGATATACAGGATGAGAGGGGAAGAGAAAATTGAATCTGCACAGGGAGAAAGTAGGAAAGGGTGGGTCAAAAAGAAGATTCCACACGTGCAAAAAGAGGGCAAAGGGGACAACTCAGATATGGCAGAATTCAAGTGACATCTCTACCTTTCTTTCATTGTAGGTGGGGCGAAGTCTCCAGCTTATGATGGTGAGTGATGCTGATGCTCTCTGAGTTTCCTGGGACATATACCATAAGCATTTCAGCCTTTTCTCTACTGTCACCCATTGACATTCTCACTTGGAATAATCAGATCTAACCCAAAAGCTCATTTTCAGTAGGGGGTTACATTTCTGCTTTTCAGGAGCCTCTGAGAGAAGCCTGAGGCTGCTGGCACTCATGCACACACCCTAGCAAACCCTGGCCATGCTTCTGGTAGCCCCTCCTGACAGAGGAAAGGGAGCCCACCATTTTGTACAAGTTGCCACTCCTGATCCATCAGAGCTGCAGAGGAGGGAAGGTGGATACTGGAAGAGACTCTGAAGAAAAGGAGAGAGAAAAGACTGAGTGAGAAGAATGGGATGGGAAAGAATAGAAATATTGACCTTTTCTTATCTATGTCTGCTTCCTTTCAGAATGGAAAGTGGCCCTCTTCCAAGCTGGTGAGTAAATCACTGTATGTTCCCTAGGCCAACAGCCTGAGGGACCAGATCCCTTTCTCTTCTCCAACTCTTGAGGTTTGGAGAAGAAAAGTCCCCATGACAAGGAGACTTTTGGGTGGGCAACATGAGGGTGCAATTGCAAGCATGCCCATCTCCAGGACCCTGCCTGCTGAGAGCATAGGGACCCAGGGAGAATTGCTGTCTTGGGCTTCCATGGACCTTCATGGGAAGGAAGAGGCAGGAAGTGTGGAGCTGAGGGGCAGGAGACACAGACTGAAGAATTTTGCAGGGACAGTGAGGATGGGAGATGCCAAGGAGAGAAGGCAGTGCCTGCCCAGTCTTCATATGCCACCTACTGGCTCTGTGTATGCTCGAAGGATTCAATGTGTCTGACCTTTGGCCTCCACATTTTTAGATGATTGTAATTCCTATTTTGTGGGCATTGAGGTGAAGACTGAAGAAGATAATGAATATGTATTTGCAAAAATCTAGCAAGGAAACAGCATGTTCAAAATGGGTATTTTAAGAGGGTTTGGAGAAAATAGGGTTAAGGAAAAGCAACAGGGGAAAGTACATTGACTCAGGGCTCCCAACAATGGGGAGCTGTCTCCACCCCTAGACTTCAAGATCAGGGACAGGGGGCCAGTACAGGAACCAGAGGACACTGTAGCTGAAAGGGAGGGCTGCCTGAGGAGTCAGGCCTTTCTCAGAGAAACACCTTCTGTTGCTGCCTGGAGGAAGTAGGAAACATAAATACTGTTCTCTCTTCTCTCTCCCACCCATCTTCTGCCAGGGTCTGCCATTGGCCTAACCCAATAGGAAACCAGAGGACATGGGAGTCTAGTGGCACTGTCCATAGAGGACATATTTCTGGGGCCCAGAACAGAGTGGAGAAAGGTGAAGTGTAGAGAATGGGTCTGGGGGCATATAAAGCCCCCAACATAGACCCTCAGCATGGAGCAGACACGGCAGCTGTTATAACATCACATGTTGGCTTTTTGCCCTGCCCTGGACTGAATAAATCACAATGTTGTCTTAGACAACTTCAGAGGTTAGTATTTGTCACATAGGGAATGCTTCAGATAAGGCTCAAAAATGTTCCATGGCTTGGACATATGGAAAAATAGATTCCAGAAAAGAAAAACTCATTCAACACATGAGTAGTAGACTGCAGATTGTAAGTTAAATCTATGAGTATGAAGCAGAATGTGACACAGTCAATTTTGAGAAGGACACAAGAAAAAGGTAGTGAGAAGGAGGCCTGTTGCTTGTGAGGCAGGGTCAGGATATCAAGTTAGGCAGACTGCAACCCTCATTTCACCTGTATTTCAACTGTACCTCACCTGTATTTCAACTTCACCCTCATTTCAACTATACACAACCCCAGGGCTTTCTCTCATGATATTAATGACAGAGTCACATGCAGGGGAGGCTGGGGACACCAGGCTCTGGACTCTGGCCTCCCATACAAGGCCCAAGCCTTGTATGCTGAGGCTCTGAGGCCCAGGAAAATGGCTGACCCCACAGACAAATGCTATATCTCTCTGCAGCTAATGTGATTCTGGATCCAGACTCGGCAAACCCCATTCTCCTTTTGTCTGAGGACCTGAGGGGTCTGCAGCGTGCGGAGGAGGAGCAAGACCGTCCAGACATTCCTGAGAGATTTAATTGGCGTTACTGCGTGCTTGGGAGAGAGAGCTTCACATCAGGGAGACATTACTGGGAGGTGGAGGTGGGGGACAGACAAGAGTGGCACATCGGGGTGTGTAGGAGGAATGTGGAGAGAAAAGGTTGGGTCAAAATGATACCCGAGAATGGATACTGGACTATGGGACAGTCTGGTGAGAATAACTATCGAGCTCTCACTGAACCCAGGACCAAACTGACGCTTGCCGGGCCACCTAAAAGAGTGGGGGTTTTCTTGGATTATGAGACTGGGGAGGTCTCCTTCTACAACGCCATGGATGGATCTCATATTTACACCTTCCCGCACACCTCCTTCTCTGGGCCTCTGTGTCCTGTTTTCAGAATTTTGACGTTGGAGCCCACTGCACTGACCATTTGCCCAGCACCAAAAGAAACAGAGAGGCTGGGAATGCCAGACTCTGTTCCTGACCTAGTTCCTGACCTTCCCCTGGAGACTCCAGTGACTCCAGGCTTAGCTAATGAAACTAGGGAGCCTGAAGGTGAAGTGACATGTCCCCTTCTCCCTGCCCAGTCTGGAGCTGAAAGCCTCCCCATCCACAGCAACCATCACAACCATGAAGCTACATGCACAGCCTGAAGCACTTTACTGGTTCAGTTATTCCATACGACAGTGGTCTGAGTTTGGCGCCACTTTATCATCCCCTTTGTACAAGTAAAAACACTAAACAAAAGTGAATTAACTTTCCAAAGGTGGCATGGCTAGTGAATGACACAGCTGGGATTTGAACAATAACTACCATTACAGAACTTAAAACACACTGGGTGTATTTTAAATTAATTCACTAAGTGGATTTCACTCATTTCAGCCTCACAACAGCCTGTGAGGTAGTCTCATTTTGCAGATGTGGCAGTTGATTGGGGGCAAAATTAAGTGACTTCTGTAACTCATACAGTAAGTTGTGCAGCTGGGAGATGCTCAGCCTCAGTCCCTGACCACCTGCCTGTTCTTCTTTTCCAGCCTCATTTTCCCCATGGGAAGGGACCACGTGCAGCCCTCAGGTTCTCTTCCCAGAGCAGCCACAGGGCAGGGGTCCTTGTGGGTGGCTGCAGGGGCTACACCCCTCCTGAGTCCTTCACAGCTGATTGTCAGAGCCTTACATCCAACACTCTTGGGTTGGCTTTGCACGGTGTCTTGGTCTAGAGATTAAACTCACTATAACCATATCACACAGGACTCAGGAAGAGTCTAGAGGGAAAACTCTAAATTAACAATAGGACAGCACAGGTGTGCCCACCCTATAAATGTGGTAAGTGATCCTGGAACCAATACCAATGTTCCTGTGTTCAAGGTCTCTAGGAAGTGAGACTAATAGCCTAAAGACTGTCAATGAAACAAGAATTTGGGAGGAAGGAAGCTAGAAGAACATCAGGGGTATTTTTAATCCCACTGTAGAATCAGAATCTATCTCTAGGAATGGAGTATATTCGCCCTGTTCATTGGTCGATATCAAACCACCATTCCTTTCAATGCATGGATACTAAGAAACAACTGCTCTTAATTATCATCTCTGTTATTGTTCACCACTGTATTCCCTCTATCTGGTACGTGGTTGTCAAATTTTATTTGTACAATAAAATTGTTAATAATCTTCACCCTTCAATTTGGCTTTTTCCAGGCTCTCACAAGTCTGATCAGCACAGTAGAGTAGCCTACACACCCTCTACCCACCATGGTTTCACAGTTTACGTCATTACAACATTTGCACCAAATCCTTATTATATAAGCTTTCTACTGCTACAAGAATGAATTACCACAAATTCAGATACTTAGAACAAAACTCATTTATTATCTCACAGATCTTTAGGTCAGAAGACAGACATGGATCTCACAGAGCTAAAATCTACATGTCTACTGGCTGCAATCCATTCTGGGGGCACGAAAGAAGGATCTGTTTCGTTGGTTTTTTCATATGTTTGGCAGAATTCAAGGCCTTGGAGTTTTAGAACTGAGGTTGAAATTCCTTCACCGTGGGTTGTTAGCTGAGGGCTATTCCCAGCTCTAGAGGCTGCCACACCCTGGCTCCTAGCTCCCTTCCTCCATCTTCAAAGCAGCAACAGCAGGTTGAGTCTTTCTTAATCTTTGGATTTCTCCTGGTTCTTCTTCTATTGCAGCCCTCTGACTCCTCTGCCTTCTACTTCTATGTACTTGTGCCATTAGATTGAGTCTGCCCAGACAAGTTAGGATAATCTATTTGAAGGTCAATACCTTAATTCCATGTGCAAGGTCCGTTTTGCCATGTAATACATCATATCTGCAAGTTTTACAGAGGCTATTGCTGGGAGGGTGGGAGCACTATTTAGCCCAGCGGTGGTATTTGGGAAGTGCTCCCAGGAAACACAAGTGCAGAAATAAAGTGAGACAGAGAAGGGAGAAAGGCAGTTATGTAAGAAATGGCATAAAGAGTTCATTAATGAGCTAGCAAGAGTGTGGATAACTTGGATCAATCCCACCCAGGACTTTAAGAAACCATATGACATTTTGGAATACAGCAGAATCTTTTTAAGACCTGGGGAGCTGGAGAAATTCATCCACATCTTGCATCCTCCTTTGCTTGAATTGGTTGAAGTTTGCTTCTGGGATGTTAATTCTGCTGCAATTTGAGGTTGGGCTGTGTGTGTGCAAAATATCCAACATCACTGGTGATAGAGAAAGCCCTCAGGCAGAGGAGATGAGAGGCAGATACCCCAGGTCAGACGTTGTGATCCACACAGGGAACTCCCTGCCTCAGTTTTTGATGATATAGGCCAAACGAATATGGATATGGCATCCACAGCATCTGTTTTCAGGGCTCTGCTTTTGTGAATATAGTGAATGCCTGTCAAGGTCTCTCTGCACCCTCTTCACCCCATTCATTTATCAGTAGTGACCTCCTGTCTTCCCCTACATATCCTCATCACACTGCTATGCTGCTTCACCACACGGACTGGATCTGGGATGGTCATGTGGCCCAGGCCAGGTCTCCTGTTAATTTTAATTACTATTTTAAACAGGTTCATATGGTCAGTGTGCTAACTTTCTTAGAAGCTAAAGATTTCAGAATGACCCAGTGGCCAATCATCAAAGCTTGAATTCATAGTTTATTGCAAGACATTCACACACACAAGCAAGCTAACATTCACAATGCAATTATTAAGGGCAGTAATGAGAGGGTAATGAATCATGGTGGAGGCTTGGAAGGCCACCCCACTAACAGAGGAACTGAAATGAATCTGGACATCTCTCTCAAGTACCAACCAGAGCGGCAGTGGCCGTTCCTTGTGGGCAGAGCTGTCTTGGCAGCAGCTGCCAGAGTCAGGAGGAGACTTTCAGGGTCTTAAGAACCAAGATTGTAAAAGTAGTCTCATACATCGCCAGCCTCTTGCTGTTTTTATGATTCTCTGCAGGTTTGCCTATTATCCTTATAACCCTTTGGGTCTTGGGTTGTACTGGGCCACAGCAGATCTTATCTCATCACCTTAGTCTATCACACATATATTGAAAAATATCAACTTTACTATGAGCTCTGTACACATAGTTTATCACTTAAAAAAATAATTTTACTCTGACCTCCATGTTCACATATGCTTATCACTTTGAGGGAAAACAAATATGCTGTAGACTTAATGCCACCTAATATGAGTGACTTCGTTTTGAGATATCAGGACCACAAATCATTATTATTAATCTGTAAGCTACAGGACTGCCACATAATATGCAACCAGTGACTCCTGTAGCAGGTGTGCACAGGAGCTGTGGGAAGGCATCTTCCACTCACAGTGAGGTCCACAAGAGCAGAGAAAGCTGGACTGTGGAGACAGGAAGGCAAAGCAGATGAGAAGGCTTCGGTGTGGAAAGAGATTGATTCATTTTCTCATCTTTGGTTCTTTGGGGTCCCAGTATCATTCCTACTGTGTGTCCTGTGAAATTTGTTCTCGAGATGAGGTAAATGTACTGGTTAATATTTATGCAGTCCTGGAAATTAGCAGCTTATGCAACTGTTGTACTATGTTCATTGATTCCATGAGTCAGGTGTTTAGAATTTGAACAGGGCAGAGAAGGAATGGTTTTTCTGCATGTCAAAGTCCCTGGGCCTCTCCTGGAAGGACTTTATGTCTGGTGCTGACTCAAAGGGAGAGACACAGCCAAATTGTCTTTACAGATTGGAGTTTATTGCAAAGCAAAAGGGAATCATTCAGTGTTCAGTTGGGATCCTGTTTCTTCCAGGACTAGAATGTATACTAGATCCATGGAGAACTGTGCTGAAGTGCCCCTTCCTCTGTGTTTATCCCTCCCATGACAAAGAATGATTGGGTCAGGTGGTCACTATCTAACGTGGCACACACAAGGAGGGCTTGGCTTCCTGCTAAGCTACTTCTTTGCCCATGGACCATTCTTCTGCTCAGAACACATGAGTTTCCCTCTGGTTCACATCAGCTTGGCAGGGGTGGGGGCATAGTTTAGCTGGATGCTTCTGGCACAAGCTGCCTCAGAAACTCTGGGCCATATTTCTTCTAATAAAATATCTGAAGCCAGATCTGACCTGGCTGGCCAGTCTCTTAGTCTCTCATAGCTACCTCTTCTGTTCCTTCCCAAAAGAAGCCCAGTCCTAGGTGGTATGATCTAAGAATTGCAATGCTTTGACTCCCATTAGCCACTCCACCAAGAATCTATTTTTAAGTATACTCCAGAAGCATTAGGTGATGGGTGAAGCTGTTATATGAGAAAGTGACAGTTCTGGGGTCAGTACAAGAGAAAAGTCAGTTCTCTGGTTCTCTGTGCTTTCTTTATCTTAGTCTCACCAAAGATCTCCCTTTACGGAGCCCAGAAGGAACCTGCTTTGGTAGCTAATTCTGGGAGATTCCTTCAATCCTCCTTCCCAGTCCCTAAACTGTTGACCTTGAGTGGTTGCCATCTCTCTCTTAGTCTTGGCACTGGATAAGTGTTGCAACTGGGTCTTACTCTTGAGGGAATGACCTTACCCTGACCATTTTCACTCATCCATTGAGTGAAACCACTGAATGAAGATGTTAGGGCCAGGACCTGAAAAAAGAGAGGAATCACATCCTGCAGACATCTGTTCTAAGGAGCAGATATTCCAGTCACTGGAAATATGCAATTGATACTTAAATAACAAGGATGCAGGCAGATTATAGGAATAGCAAAAGCTTTGTGTGTCAGAACAGGCTGAGAATATTTCAGGCAAAAATATCCAGAGGTGTTCTTGGCAGGGATGACATGAAGGCTGGGCAGGATTCAAGAGGCAGAAATGGAGGGAACAATTCAGGTGAAGAGAATGGCATAGGAAAGGGAGTGCTGGCTACAGGGAGGGCACTAGTGTGACATAAGGTAATTGTGGAGCCACTGCTAGTGTATTAATTGTAAGTTCTGAATTGAATCAGAAGGGAATTGGAGGCCTCCAGAAGAAGTGTTTAGACACTTGAGGAGAATATTGGCAACTGTGCCTTGGGAAGTTTATTTTGGATGATACCTCCACAACATGAGTACCAGACTTTTTGAAAGGCCAGCCTGAAAGAACAAAAGACCAGAAGACCCCAGTTTAGAAGGTTTTAAAATGTCTAAGCTTATTTCATGGGACCCCTGATGCCTGTCCTACTGTTTTCTGGGTTAAGACAGGACAGCTACTTCATTCTACAAAGCACTGCTTCCTAATAAATGCCTACAGATGTCCTACTGGTTTTGGCTGCTTTCCTGAGGCCAAGAGTGGCCCTGTGCCTTGTGTTTCAATATTTTACCTACAGGATGTAATTATAATATATTTAACTCCAACCCAAGTTAAATCTTGGGTTAAATCTCCAACCCAAGGTGATCATGGGACTTATTTTACTTACATGTAGACCTAAAATCCATGTGTGGGGGGAACCTTCAGAAATATTCATAGCTCCTCCTATAGCCTGTTAAACATGTATACTTGGCCAATCCCTTCAACATAAATTCTTGTCCCTCCCTCCAAGTTCCATTTTTAGGCTTCTGCAGGAGGTATGCTTCCCAGCCTGTCAGGATGGCCAACCAGCAGGTTGTGACCCTTTAAGAGAAATAAAGTCTCCTTTCCAAATTTATAAACTGTGTGATTTTTTTTAAAAGTTAACGCATAACAAGATGAGAGTCTGTGGGGGGGTATATTGGCAGAGAGCACTGTATGTGTGGGGGGAGTAGGGGAGGGGCGGGTTGGAATCAACCAGAACATCTAGTTGGGTCAGAGAGTAAAGGCCAACTAGAGTCTTTCTTTACTTGTGTCCTCTGCCCACTAGGATGCCACCTCCCTGAGGGAAAGAGTTTTTAACTCTCACTCAGATTCTCAGCACATCTTACATCCTGAATGATAGAGAAGGTTTTCATAAGAGATACTGCAATTGCTGTCTCACATCCTTCCAGCTCTGCTGATACCCGCCCTCTCCACTCTGGTCTGCTGCCAGCTAATGGTCCCCGCCCCTAACCTCCAGACCTAGCAACTTAAACGAAATTTCTCTGACTTTGGAAACAGATAATGCTTATGTTTACCGCTGCCCTTCCCCACCCTAACCTCTTTGAGCACAGGTCTATGCAGGGAGAACTCTCTTCCTGTTTAGCAGCAACGCCACAAACCACCGGGAATCCCAAAACTTTGAAAAAAATGAAAAGATAAAAAGCATCTTTCTTCCGAAAGAAAAAAGAAATAAAAAGACCTAATAATCTCCGAAGGTTATTTGCTGCCAATTTTTTTTTTAAACTATTTCCGTATATTCTACCTAGTAACTGGTGAGAAATAAAGCTCAGGGACACCATTGGCTGGCTGACCCACAGCTGCCCAATCCTGGGCTCGAAGCCATTCCTTGGAAATCTCAGGAGTTTACAGACCCACAGGGGACAGAATCTGAGGTTCCGGGTTCAGCAGTTCTCGACATCGCAGCTAATGGGAGGCGAAAAAAAGTTTTCTGTGCTCTTTTGGGACGGTTCGTTCTCTAGTGCTGCCGGGGCCCACCAGCGGGTTGGAGAAAAGAGAGACGACCGGAAAATCATCATTTGAGAGTCACAGGAAAAAAGAAAACACGGAGGTTAATTCTAGAAGGTAGGAAAGGAAGTGGAAGAGCTACAGCTCCGAGGCGCAGTCGGTGGGTGGGAGAATGGAATGGCTTTGGAGGAAAAGGGGGTCCCTGGCAGAGGGGAGGCCCACCGGTGGGGAGGCGCGGCCATGCCTGGCCTTAACTCGGGTTGCCCGGCCTGGTTCACCGGTAGGAGGATGACAACAGAGGGAGGGTGTGGAAGAATATCAAGTGACAATTAAAGAAACTGGACTCTGGCTAGAGAGGTGAGCCTAGGAGGGTGGAACACTGCCTGCCTGATGGTTGTATTGTTGACTTATTTCATGGAATGTTTAATGAATCCTTTTATTGGGAAATATCTGAACCTTGAGTGGAAGGGGGCCGCCTAAGACAGAAGTTGGGGCGCCGATGAGAACACCATGGGTGACAGGAATGTTTGAGCTGGGTCAGAACTGTGGTGCCAGGTTTCCTTGGCTGAATCTCCTCCTCTGGCCCCCTAGGCTTCTGGTCCCTGCCTGTCCTGGGTGACTATGTCCTTGGTACTTATGGAGCCAGCTGCTTCCCTGCACTTCTCCCTACCAGCCTCTCTTCTCCTCCTGCTCCTCAGACTCCTTGCACCTGTCTCAGGTAGGGATGCATGCCACTCGCTGCTTGCTATCAACTATCAGAAAGCAACATCAACACTTGAGCTTGCAAACAGGAAGAAGGAAGAAGGACCAGAGTGGTGTAGACTCACCCTTCCTTCTGCACGTGTTCACTGAATTGATAGCAGTGCTGTCCAATAGGAATACAGCGAGAGCTACAAAGACTAGTTGCATATGCAATTGCAAATTTTCAAAATTTTTAGTTTTTTACTTTTTACTTAAAGTAAAAAGAAACATGAAATAAATTTTTCATAACATATTTTGTTTCAGCCCAATAATGAAATATTAATATTTAAATGCTTAGTTTATGCAAAGTATGAGATATTTAATATTTTAAAATCTTAAATCTTCAAAATCCCGTATATGTATTTTACAAGATCAGCTTGCTTCAATTGGAGCTAGTTAGTGGATACCCTTTTGGACAACTCCAGTTTACAGTACACTCAGGCACTGTGCTGGATTGGGGAATAGAGGAAACAGTCTCTGGGGGCACAGGGCCTATAGAGGTTGCTCAGGGTAAGCTCTTCAATGTTTGTCCAGGGGGCATTAGTAGCCTCAATGCTCCTGCTCTGAGGGCTGCTAGCAACCAGCCACAGCTACTAGTTTCCAGAATTCTCAACCCAGAAAGCCCCTGTGGTTTGGGAAAGAATTTTTTAGTGCCTGGAACATCCACTTCCTTTCCTGCCTCAGATATTCAATGCCTCTGGTCCCTGTGTGATTGTGCTCCTTTGTTGAACAGCCCAGTTTACTGTCCAGGGGCCAGCTGATCCAATCCTGGCCATGGTGGGAGAAAACACCACTTTACACTGCCACCTGTCACCCGAGAAAAATGCTGAGGACATGGAGGTGCGGTGGTTCCGGTCTCAGTTCTCTCCAGCAGTGCTGGTGTACAAGGGTGGGCGAGAGAGAACAGAGGAGCAGATGGAGGAGTACCGAGGAAGAACCACCCTTGTGAGCAAAGACATCAGCAGAGGCAAGGTGGCACTGGTCATACACAATGTCACAGCCCAGGAGAATGGGATCTACCGCTGTTACTTCCAAGAAGGCAGGTCCTACGATGAGGCCATGATTCACCTCAAGGTGGCAGGTGGGTCGCTTCATTTTGTTTAATTACTTTTTCACAGTATCACTTTTAGGGCAAGTGTCTCAGCAACTCTCAGGCCTATTGCAAACCAGGAGGATTTTGCCTGGAATCCCCTTTGCACAGGAAGAGTAGCTTCCTCCTGCCCAATGGCCAAATGAGTGGGGTTGCCCCGCTAAGCTGTGAATATCACTTCTTGAGAAGCACACTTAACATTCATCTGCGCCCTTGAGTAGGGGAGCCTGGTTAATCCCTGAAGATAATTCTTAAACTTGTTTTATTACTAACACTATGCACTTTTGAGAGTGAGAGGAGGCATTGTTAGTAATTGCACCCGTATAACTGGGAAAAGCAAGACTGACCAGGGTATTACAACAAACGGGCATCTCATTTCTTGATAAATATTAATCTTGCTTCTTTTTCCTTTTCCCAAATGCTAACTGCAGAGAGAATAATGGATATGTAAATAGATGATTTTATTAAAGCAAAACTAAGAACAGAGGGAAAGTTATGCACTAAGCACTAATTGGTACAGAGAAAATGAGTGAGAGTTTGGCATAGAGGAATGTGACAAGGTTTCAAAGTAGATGTGCATTTAAATGGGGATTTCAGCAGAGCCCAGTAGCTCACACCTGTAATCCCAGCACTTAGGGAGGCCAAGTGGGGAAGATTGCTTGAGGCCAGGAGTTCCAGAAAACCTGGGCCACATGCCTAGACCCTATCTCTACAAAAAACTAAAAAATTAGCTGAGAACGGTTGTGCACCTGTAGTCCGATCTACTCTGGAGGCTGAGGAAGGAGGATCCCTTCAGCCCAGGAGTTGGAGGCTGCAGTGAGCTATGATTGTGCCACTTCACTATAGCCTGGTCAACAGAGTGAGACCCTTTCTCTAGAAAAAAATCTAAATAAATAAAAAATAACTTGGGATTTCTGGCAGTTTATTAAAATGACTGTAAGGGATGACCTCACACCTGAGGTCAGCATATTGTGCTTTAAAAGAAACACTTGAAGAGTGGGCTAGCCTTTAAAACACAGAAGACTCTATGGTGGCATTTAAGTCCACCAGATCAGTGGAGTTGAGGTTTAGGGAGAGTGTGTCCTTACCAGGGGACCTCAATCCATAATTTGTATGAGATCCCGTCTTTGTCACAATAACAACTTTGTATCTGATCAAATATGGATATCACAAAAGGAGGGTTTCATTACCCTAATGTCTTCACTGCTCATGGCAGCACAGTACAGTTGACAAGTTATGCTTCATGTGTGGCAGGAACCCTGGATTTTTCCCATGTAAACCTGACCCTGGCTTGGCCTGTCCACTCTAAATTGGAATGTTGGAGAATTTTTGCCTTAATTTGTTAATTGTTTATTTGGTTTTTAGTTTGGTTTACTGACTCATTTTGTCCTGCAATCTATTGTCTCATGCGTGCTCTCACTGAATCCCGTAGAATGTTTGTAGAAGTTTGTATTCACATTTGCTTAGTTATCTTAATTATTATTCCATTTCAAAGTTTCCGTGTGAGCCCTTAAATGTACAATTGATTTTTTTCTCTCTTGATAAAAATTAAATTGAGCAGGAAGCATTAAACTTAAGTGATTGCTTTCATTTCCTGTCTTTGGTATACTTTGCTGGGTAGGCTTCACAAAGGAATTATTCAAAAGAACCTTAGAACATCACACATTGCTAATGGGTCTCCCTGAACCATGTGTTTGCCCCCTTCTCATACTTGGTATTCTCTATTATTGAAGATATTTTTAAAGATATAATTTAGTTAAGATGAATCTAGATTTTGAGGATTTTTCACAATGATTTTCTGACATTGAAGATCTAATATTGTTACCTTAAGGATCCCAGGAGCATCCAGATCTTTCTGATACATTGATGTTCTCGAAAGACTGTGAGAAAATCACCTATAGACTGCACCTCTGGGAGACAAGCATCTGTGAATCAGGATAAGGGTTGGCTTTGGTGGCTAGCTCTGTCTGTTCTCCTAGAAACTGTCACCTCTTATAGATAGTAAGTAGTTGTGGTGATATGAAGCCCAGATCTGCACAGAAGGGACAGTGTCTTTAGGTCAAAAGTTTCTTAAGAAACTTGGCAGAAACCAGCCTGGCAGGTTTCTGTGTTGTATATTTCTAGAGCCTCATGAAACCAACGTCTATCGAAAAGTTTCTTTCAGGAACAGAAAGTGAAATCCTCAACCTGGCTATTTCAGGTTGGACTGGACACACCCAGCTGGAAGGGAGAAATTTAGTCTTTGGCAGAGTAAACCCAACAGCAAGCATTTATGGCAGTCAGATAGATGCTTGGTGGTGTGATGGGGCCCGTAGGTGGAGCACAAAGCAGAGTGTGCACTGTAATCCTTTCCTCTTAGAGATCTCACGATTTATTTGGCATATTGGTCTCCTGGTGTTCTCCAACATCAAGGTTCTTTCCTATTTCCTTTCCCCCTTCCTGTTTCTTGCTCCCTCCCTCTGTCTTTGGCTTCCTTTCTTCATCCCTTCACAGAAGAGGCACAGTAGGGGCTGAGACACCACTGCTTGGTAGCTGAGCCCTGGTCTCCCTCCCCAGGCCTGGGCTCTGAGCCCCTTGTTGAAATGCAGGGGCACGAGGATGGGGGCATCCGGCTGGAGTGCACATCTGGAGGGTGGTACCCAGAGCCCCTCGCGGTGTGGAGGGACCCCTATGGTAAGGTCGTACCCGCCCTGGAGGAGGCTTACACTGCTGACGCAGACGGCCTCTTCATGGTGACCACGGCTGTGATCATCAGAGACAGCTCCGTGAGGAACATGTTCTGCTCTGTCAACAGCACCGTGCTCGGCCAGGAGAAGGAAACTGTGATTTTCATTCCAGGTTAGTTCTCTGCCCTCTGGAGACTCATGGTGTGGAGGTGGGATCCTCAGCCCACAGATGGATCCCCAAGTAGGGATGAGGGGAGGTCAGGAGTGTGGGTTGAAGGGTCCTGGGCCCTGGGGAGCAGGGGGCTTCAACTGGGCTGAGTCCTCTCCCCTTGTCACAAGGAAAAAATTAAAGAATCTCAAAACACATGAGTAGAAGTCTCTTCTCTGAGGGTTAATTTTATCTTTTTTTTTCAAATAAGATTCTTGTGCTGCATCAATTTTTAAACATTAAGAACTATCATAAAATACGGAGAATAATTGGCTGGGTGTGATGGTGGATACCCACATCCTAGCTGTTCAGGAGGCTGAGGCAGGAGGATCTCTTAAGCTTAAGAGTTGGAGGTTACAGTGAACTATGATCACACCACTGCTCTCTAGTCTGGGTGACAGAGCAAGACACTGTTTCTGAAAAAAAAAAGAAATTACATGCAGAATAGTATTGATGGTGACTATCTACAGGTGGTGGTTCTGTCTGCTGAAGCCCTCCATCTATACCCATGGGATTTTTTCAGGGATAGAACTGAGGATATTCCCTATCTATACACATTCATCATTCATACTCAACAGGTGTTTTATATATTCAAAACACTGTTCTATAAACTGAGGGTAAATCATTGAAGATGCCCATATGGAGTTCACATTCTAGAAAGGAAGAGAGCAATAAATGACTAGTTAATATAAGGCCAGGCATGGTGGTTCACGCCTGTAATCCTGGCATTCTCGGTGGTCAAGGTGGGTGGATCGTTTGAGCTCAGGAGTTCGAAACCAGCCTGAGCAAGAGCGAGACCCCACCTCTACTAAAATAGAAATAAATTAGCTGGACAACTAAAAATAAATAGAAAAAATTAGCCGGGCATGGTGGACATGCATGTAGTCCCAGCTACTCAGGAGGCTGAGGAAGTAGGATTGCTTGAGCCCAGGAGTTTAAGGTTTCTGTGAGCTAGGCTGACGCCAAGGCACTCAAGCCCAGGCAACAGAGCCAGACTCTTGTCTCAAAAATAAATAGTTAAAACAAGTGGTTCAATAATTAGTTAAATATATATTATATCAGTTGGTGATGAGTATGTAGGAAAAATTAAACAAGGAGGGAATAGGGAGTGCCAGGGGCATGGGGTGTGGTGATTATTAATGGGATGGTCAGGGAAAACTTTAAAGATGAGAATGGAGCAATCAAGGGAATGAACCAAGCAGACACTTGAGGAGGGAGCAAGCCAGGTAAGAGGAACACCTTATGCAAAGGGCCTGAGGTAGGGGTGCATCTGGCAGTATCAGGGAACACCAGGAGTCGGTGCTAGTGTTGCTGGAATGGAGCAAGTACAAGAAGTAGGAGGAGATGAATTCACAGTGGCAACGAGGCCACATTGTATGGGGCAGCATAGGCCAAAACAGACTTTGGCTTTTAGTCTGAGTGATATGGGAAGCATTGGAGGGTTTTGAGCAAACAATTAACATCATCTCACTTAGGCAGTTCTGCTGAGAATAGACTGCAGGAGGTAAGGGCAGAACAAGGAGGGGGCACTGCAATATTTCAGGCAAGAGTGAGGGTGGCTTGAACCAGGCAGGTGGCTATGCTGATTCAGCACAGCTAGTTAGCTTTATTCACCCTGGTCCTTTCCATGGTGATTCTAGATGTCTCTGATTTTCTATCTCCTGGGCCTCAGCCTTGGCAGTCACTGAAAGATCAGCCAGTGCACAGTCAGCATTGCTTGCTCCACCGGGTTTGTGAGCAGAGGGTGACAGAGCAGGCACCTGAGGAAGCTCTTCAGATGTGTTCCTGAGGGGTACTCTCACCCTGCGTCTCCTGTTTCTTACTAAATTTGAGTTTTCTGGCTGCCTTTTCAGAATATTTTACTCCCAGCACATATCCCCTGGTTGTGATCCTGGCTCCCATCCTGGCTATTCTCATCATCCTCATGGCTGTGAGCATCTGTTGCAGCAAGAAACTCCACAGGGAAAAAAAGATTTTGTCAGAGGAAAAGGATGTTGAACAGGAAGAGAAAGAAATTGCACGTAAGAAACTGGGGGAAAGAACATGTGAAAAAAGAGAAAAAATGTCAAATAAAAGGTAAAAGAGTAGGAGGACAGTCCATTGACATAGAAACAACACAGCTCCAACAGGTAGCAGCTTGGGGAAAGAAAAAAGAAACATGTATCATCAGCAGCAAGGGCTTGGAGCGCTCAAATCCTAGGGATTAAATCCCTCGGAGGTTTATTACTTCCATTGTGCAAACGTTGCATTCATTCCCCTGGCCACATATACCACTAAATGGTTGAACAAAGGAAGCCTTAAAATGCACTGATACCGTCCAGCCTGTGGATCACAAATCCTTTCTGGTTTCTGACAGTTCCCGTGGCATGGAGGCAGGGTGATGCTGGCGCTCGTAGGAAGGACGGGTCCTGCATCATTTAATGCAAACCCAACTTCTCTTAGTTCTTCTATTGAGGACATTTTTCTGTTTCTGTTTCTTTTTCAGAGCAACTTCAAGAAGAATTGCGTGAGTTTAGCCTTTTTTGAACTACTCTGTGCACTATTTCTGCTCTGCTTGGTTAGCATTTATCTCATAACACTGAGCTCTCTGTCTGTCCCTTGCAGGATGGAGAAGAACACTCTTACATGCCGGTGAGCACCTCTGACCTTCCCTGGGATCCAGAGCTTTCTCCCCACCAGCAGCCAACAGGGCTCTTGAGAAGAGATGAGCAAGGGGCCCAAGGCTGGGTGGGGGCAGCTGGGGGCACCAGCAGTGTCCCACCAATGCTAGATCATGGCTCTTCTGTCAGGGAACCCCAGCAGCTCTTAGTCAACCCTACAGTTTATTTCCTATGATCTTTTCTCTTTTAGAATAATTTAGTCTATAATTACCAGAGGTCTCTGATACATAGTAGACCTCCCCAGGATTTACATTTCAGTAGTTGTTACTCTTCCATCCTGGATCAATTTGAAAGAAGACAATGATGTCTTAGTTATTTATAACCTGGAGATGTTGTAAACTATGCACAGTTGAAGATGCACATGGGGAAAAGAGAATGAGGTTCCCCAACAAGCCTGATGTTAGGGTGTCCAAATAGGTGGCCAGAAATGCCTTTGTGCTCCTCAGAGAGCACTGGTACCCTGTGTGTAGCCTGCCAGGGGAGGGGGCCAGGTGAGTGTGAGAACACAGAATCCACTTGTCTACTAATGAGCACTTTGAATTTTATGATTTGTCACCTTCTGTCCAGAAGCACTAAAGAATTTAGTGTTACCAGATACCATGGATCAGAGACTATTCTTTTTAAAGTGAATTTAAAAATTTTTAAATTTTCACACAATCAGAAGTTGTCACAATCAGGCATATTAATTTGCAGAAAGGATGAAATCATTTTTTTTAGGCAAGCACAAAAATGAGGTATATTGAGGAAAGAAAGATAGGATTATAGAGCAAGATATAGGTTTACAAAGCATGGTACATAAACCACAGATGACAACCAGACCCATTGTTGCAGCTGGGCATGCAAAAGGAAGGGCAAAGAGAGAGTGAAATCATTTTAATACAACAGAAAAGTAGACTAAATAAGTAATAAAAGATGAAGATGGGAGAGGTCTGTAGAATGTCCAGGATCTGGAGCATTTCCTGTACCCAGAAAGATCACAGCTGTTGACTTCAGTTATTTATTCAGTTGACTTCAGTTATTTAACAACCCAAGTTGTTAAAGCAAAACCAGATGCAAGTATTTCCTCCCTTCTTTTGCCAAACCACCTCTCAGGCAGCAGGTTGGCTTTTGAGGAAATTTATCCTCCTTTACCCTTTGAAGGATGTCCTTGTCAATCATTGAAATCAATTGTCACCTGGTTAAAAGAACAGGAGACAGATGAAGAGATCCTTTACTACCCAAACACTGTGTAGTGACAGACTCACTTTAATTTTGTGGTCCCCAACTTCAATGCCACAGCCTAGCACCAGTCAGTGGCCTATTAGAAAATGAGCCTCACACCACCACCCCTGACCCACCACAGCCAACGCCTCATCCCTGGTCTGTGGAAAAACTGACTTCCATGAAACCAGTCCTTGGTGCCAGCAAGATTGAGGATCATTGCCTTAATTGATCCATGGGTGGTTGACTGGTTTCAGCCACATTGGAAAGTCTCTGACTAAACAGAGACCCACAGATCATCTGTCTTACATAGAATACAGGATAGATCTAAGAATGCTGAGAGAAAGTGGAAACCATTACTTTTGGCTCGTTTGCTAAACCTTCTGGGTTCCTTAAAGCCCCAGTTCTCCTCTGCCTGAGGGCACTGCTCCTTCACTGGAGAGAGAAGTGCAGCTTCAGTAACTCTTAGTCTGTGAGCTGCCTGGGACCATGGGCCCTTCATGGAAAGGACCATGACATGCGGGATCCCCACTAGCTTTCTGAGCCTTCTCTGAGGGACCAGGAATTACACAATCTACAGGTTCCTGAGACCTCAGGCCTAAATCTGAGACTTCCTCTGCAGCTGACGTGGTCCTGGACCCAGACACTGCTCATCCTGAGCTCTTCCTGTCTGAGGACCGGAGAAGCGTGAGACGGGGCCCTTCCCGGCAGAGTGTGCCTGACAACCCTAAGAGATTCAACTGTCAGCCTTGTGTCCTGGGCCGGGAATACTTCACCTCAGGAAAACATTACTGGGAGGTGGAAGTTGAAAACCTGATGGCATGGACATTGGGGGTTTGTAAAGACAGTGTTGAGAGGAAAGGGGAGGCCCTGCTGCTTCCTCAGAATGGCTTCTGGACCCTGGAGATGTTTGAAAACAAATACCGGGCCCTGTCCTCCCCAGAGAGGATTCTCCCTCTGAGAGAGCGCCTTGGCCGGGTGGGCATCTTTCTGGACTACGAAGCTGGAGATGTCTCCTTCTACAACATGAGGGACAGATCGCACATCTACACATGTCCCCGTTCACCCTTTACTGGCCCCCTAAGACCGTTCTTCAGGCTGGGGTCTGACGACAGCCCCCTCTTCATCTGCCCAGCACTCACAGGAGCCAATGGCATCACAGTGCCTGAGGAAGGCCTGATTCTTCACAGGGCACGGACCCTACAGCGCCCACGGGACCAATTCCCTGGTCTCACAGCCATGTAGAGAAGCGCTGGCCATCTTCCTTGCTGAGTCCAGGCCCTCTGTCCCTCTGGTCACATAACAGAACATCTTCTAGCTCCCTCTTTCATACCCATTTCTGGCCTGAGCCCCAGCTCTCCCCCTCACCAGGCAGTGGCTTTGGTAGCTCCTCTGCTTGTACCTATGGGGAGAATCTAGTCTTAGGCAGCTACTTCTATTACACAGCTCCCAGCCAAGACGAAAGTGTGACAAGGTGATGGACAGCAAACCTGCTGCTTTACCATCAGGTGACAACGTTGATCCTGATGCTCCACTTGGTACCAGACGTTGTGGACATGGGGCGAGGGCACCAGGATGCACTAGGATGTAGGAGGAGGAAGGGAACCACACACCTCCTGAGGGGAGAGGAACCCACATGTAGAGATCAAAGACAGAGGAAGTGGGACCAGAGCTGGGAAGAGACCAATGTTGTGAGCATGGTTAAGCCCCACCATGACAGCTAAGGGGGTCCTAGGAGATGATGGCCCATTTCTACCCAACTCCCAAGATTTCTAGACCACATACATACAGGCATAAACCTGAGATGAAAAAGAATCAACAAAAAGGAAAAAGACAAGGATCCACGGGCACAGGGGCCCCCTCAAGAAACAAGGAAACAACACGGAGTCAGTAAGCAGGCATTGAGGATGAAGGGACGGCCAAAGCACGGCAGGACCAGACCAAGACCACAACAAGGCTAACAGACAACGCAGACACAAGCGGGACAAAAGAGCCTGCGAGCAACAAGCCCTCAAAATGCCAAAAAAGAGGCAGAAAAAAAAAGAACAACCCCAAAGAAAGGCTAATAACTGCCAATAATAATGACACCTGCAAAGAAAAAAAAGAAGAAAAGAAGTAGGTATTAATTTATATTAAATAATGTTAATAAACAAAGTATAAGTTAATGCAAGCAAAATATATGAAAAAAAAAATGGTTGAAAAGCAAGAAAAAGAAATTGAGAAAGAAGACGGACATTAATGAACGCTAACAAAATGGAATGGCTGAATAAAAAAAACCTGCATGCACACACATATCGAAGCACCAAAACAGATGGGAGAACAGAGATACAACACCCTCAAAAAAAATTAACGAGACCCTAAAGTGAAAATGACAACAAAACCAAAACAAAAGATACCAAGACAACTAGCAAAACATTACAGCAGGAACACTCAGCAACACTGAAAAGAAAAGAAGAAACAACCCAACAGAACCACCCAAGAACCGCCAGAAAGAACAGGAGAAACGAAACAAACAACAAAGGAAAGGAAAAAGCGCGATCGCTAACTCTAGCTATCAAAAACTCACGCACTAGCGCACACGGGGCCATGGGCAATATATGTAACCTTAACATTTGTACCCCTATAATATGCTGAAATAAAAAAAAATTGATGGATTGATGAGTATATAGACAGCTGGCAAAGGAATATTTCTGGGTGTGTTTGTGAGGGTGTTTCCAGAGGAGATTATTAGCTTGTGAGTCGGTGGTCTAAGTGAGAAAGAACTGCCCTCAATGTGGGCCGGTACCATCCAGTCAGAACAAAATGGCAGAAGAAAAGTGAATTCTCTCTCTCTTTCTGCTGAAACTGGGACAGTCTTTTTCTGTCCTTGGACATTAGAACTCCAGGCTTTGTGACATTTTTGACTTCAGGACTTGCACCAGCAGTGCCCCGTATTCTCAGGCCTTTGGCCTTGCACTGAGAGTTACACCATCAGCTTCTCTGGTTTTGATGCTTTCAGACTTGGACTGAGTCACACTATCAGCATCCGGTGTCTCCTTGCATACGGCCTGTCCTGGAACTTCTCAGCCCCCATAAACATGTGAGCCTATTCTCCTAATAAATACCTTTCATATATCTATATGAATACCTTTCATATATGAAATACCTTTCATATATCTATGCCTATATCTATATCTATAGCCATCTCCCATTGGTTCTATCTCTCTGGAAATCCCTGACCAATACAATCAGACATCTAAAATGCTGGCTTAAATGGTAGTATTTTGGATTTCCAATTGGATCAATAATTCAATTGGAAAACTAGGCTGAAAAAAATTTAAATTGTCCAAGGTTATATTACTGCAGTTACAAATAGATACATTATGGAAAGAATTGGGAACATACTTAATTATCTGATTTGTAAAGATAAAAGACAGGGTTATTTATGTGTATGTCTTAGTCTGTTCTGGCAGCTATGGCAAAAATACCAAGAATGAGTGGTTTGTAAACAACAGAAATTTATTTTTTCAATTCTGGATGCTGGGAACTCTAAGATCAGATCACCAGAAGACTGTTATCTGGCGAGGGCCTGCATCCCTGTTCACAGTCTTTTTGATGCGTTCTCACAAGACAAAGGGAAAAGTAGTTCTCTGGGGTCTCTTTTATAAGGGCACTAAGCCCATTCATTAGGGCTCCCCTCACCTCAGGAGGAAAGAAAATAGAAGGAGGCTCCAATCTTCTTGCCACCCCTCCCCCAATCTGCATCTGCGCCTTCTGATCTGTTCTTTCTCCTGTCAGAGGCAAATCCTCTAACTTCATCCTAGACCCCCCACTCTCCAGCTTCCCATAGGGTTTCTCTGTTCAGTCCATTTATTCATTCATGCATTCATTCATTCAACAAGGTTTCATGAGCACTAACTATGTGCCAGTCAGTGTTCTTGGCACTGGGGGTACAGAAATGAACAAAACAGAATGTTCCTCTTCAAAAACATCATAATGTAGGAGGAGACAGAAAACACAATAAATAGTAATATATAATATATAGTGTTTTGGATAATGATAATTGCTCAGGAGATAAATAAATCAAAGAAAGGAATATTGGAAGTTGCAATTTAAAATACCGTGGTCATGAGAAAGGAGAGCAAGGCACAGGAACAACTGGGGGAAAAGTATTCCAAATAGGTGGAACAGCATTGCCAAAGCCCAGAGACAGAAGCACGTGTGGAGTGTTTGAAGACTAGTAATAAGGCTGATGTGGTTAGAGCACACGGGTGACCAGGGAATGAGAGAGCAGGATGTCAGAGGGATCCAAGGGCCAGATCACATATGACCCTAAGAGTCATCATGCTGACCTTGCCTTTGCCTCTGAGAGGGGAGCCACTGGAGGGTTTGAGCAGAGGAGGAACTGAACTGACTTATGTTTTAAGAAGTCACTTCAGATGCTAATAGCTGTGAGTAGGGGTTGTAGATAGAAGCCAGAAGACCAGCTGGGAGCTATTGCAGTGATCAAGGTAAAAGATGAGGATGATTTATACCAAGGTGGAGCTATAAAGTAGTAAGACATGGTTCAACACTGCACTTATATTTAAGATAGAGCAAAAAGGCTTTGCTGATGGACTTAGGTGTAGAGTGTGAATAATGGAGTGGATCAATGATGACTACAAGATTTCAGTCCTAAGGAACTGTACAGATGGAGTTGCCATTTACTGAGATGGGGAAACAGAGAGAAGGAGCAAGAGGGAAAGGAGTGCAGAACCAGAAGTTCAGTTGTGAATACATTAAGGTTGAAGAGCCTACTAGAGATTTACATGGAGATGTAAAGTAGGCAGTTGGATAACCAAGAGTGTAGTCCAGGTGAGAGGGCTCGAGATAGAAATTATGTACTGAATGTTGCTATATGTTTGAAAAATATCATGTAAACTGTTAGGGATAGAGGGAAGAATTGCATTTTGCTACTGATAACAGAAGCCTCAGTACCATCAACTTTGACAAAACAAAAACGTATTTTCCTTCGATGTAAATGAATTCAGATGGCAGCTTTCAAGGGCTGATCTTGGAACTGTAGATGTCATCCATGCCCAAGCCTACTTCTGTTTTTATTCTCTTTTGTCTCTATATGTGACTTCCATATTCAAAGTTGCCTCATGGTGACAACATGGCTGCTGCCCCTTCAGGTCCAAGTTCCAGGTTTGAAACAAGAGGAAGGAGGAAGTAGGGAGAGTGTAAGACTTTCCCAGCTGTTTTAGTCTTCCATTTTAGGATCTCTCTGAGAAGCACACCAACTTTCACCCCCAAGCCATTGACTCAAACTTAGTCCTTGGCTTCCCTAATTATAAGAGGGATGGACACATTGTAATAACAGCAAAATATAAATTTATTACTAAGAAAAGTAAGTCTGGATATTGCAGAAGCAGCCGGCCAGTTCTACCACAAAACCTAAATTCAAACTGTTGTAATCAATTTATATCTGCCACGGTTACAGCTAAGTCCTAGGAGCTTTAATTACTTTAGGAATTTGTTTTATGATGTAAATAAAGCAAAAGCGTAAGACTTCATTTTTGGTTTGTGACCTAAATAATTTTGCAATTAGGTCCCAAGGTTTGTCACAAGGACCTCTTACAAAGACACCCCTCACCGTCCACCTAAAATTTAACCTCAGAACATACTCCCCTGGCAGAGTCAGAAACAAATACATGTGAAAATACAATGTAGAACAAACAAGGAAGTAAGGGTGAATGAAGATGCTTAGCAACACTGAAAATAATTTTGTGAAAGATGTAAAACATGCCAAGCACACACTGACAACACTGCTAACACACTCTGCTAACCTCTGGAAACCAGAAAGTTACATAATTGGTAATGGATCTGACACCTGAATTTTGGAGATACTTACATAGGTGAAATGGGTTTGGTTTTCATTCTGTTCATACTTTCATTTGGCTCTGCGGTAAAAGGCCATAATATATTCCAGGTTCCTATTACATGTAAGGTGATGTCAGCAAACCGCCACATATCATTTTAAGTAATACATATCTTCTTCTCTTCACTTATTAAAATCTTTTTATTTTTTCTACTCAGTTCTGCTGGCATTTCTATTATGATTGAGACATAAAACAGGTCAGGTACAGTGGTTCACACCTGTAATCCTAGCACTTTGAGAGGACAAGGTGGGAAAATGGCTTGAGGCCGGGAGTTCAAGACCAGCCTGGGCAATATAGAAAGACCCCAGTTTCTACAAAAAAAAAAAAATTTAAAAATTAGCTGAGCATGGTGGCACGCTCCTGTAGTCCCAGCTACTTGGGAGGTTGAGGCAGGAGGATGGCTTGAGTTATGATGATGATACTGCACTCTAGCCCAGGCAACAGAGCAAGATCCTGTCACCAAAATAAATAAATAAATAAAAAGAGAAGAAATAAAATGGGTGAATGTAAAGGAACAATGATCATACATATACACATTAATGATTCAAATAGGTAAACACAGAGAGACACGAACATTGTGGGAGACAGGGCTGGAATTTTTTTCAATGTGTACAATTTAAGGTACTTTCAGTTTTCATTCTAACCTTCCCAAGTGGTTTCTGCCCAGCAACTGATGAGAAACACCACCTCTGAACCAATCAAAAAACTGACTCCGCCAAAGAGGATTTTCCTGTTTTTCAGAGTGAGTGTAGAGCACACACTTTCTTTCTTTTTCCTTTATCCCGCATCAGAGAATCTTAACTATAATAGAAAGGATAGAGTCAAATTAAACTAAATTTGGCCTGCGGTATCCCTCAGTACTTGAATTCTTAAGTAGTGCACTGCAACCTAACTTAGTATGTAAATTAACTAAAAGCCCAAAATAGGGATGTAGTTTTGTAACAAATAGCTGAGTCTCAACTAAACTTCTGTCAACCATAGGCAGGCAACTGATCAGACTATGTTGAAATAAGGCAAATTCAGAGCAGTAGCCTATTAAGCTGTTCTATACCTCACTTCCATTGTAGAATGGGACTCTCTGAACCTCTCTTCGCTCTGAGTGCTGCCCCATTTGCCAGTTGTGCTTTGCTCAGTTAAAACTCTGCTAAATTTAATTTGTCTAAAGTTTTTTTTGTTTTGTTTTGTTTTGTTTTGGTTTGGTTTTAACAATAGAGAACTATTGATTGTCTTTGTTTTGTGGGCTGTGATTTTCAAATAGGAATACCAAGGAGTAAATGGGGGAAATTGATTAGAGCCAGGGCTACAGAGCCTGGCAGAAGAGGGGCTGACAAGATGAGAGGACTACCCCCACAGAGAAAGGGGAAGGGAGGGGAGAATGTGAACGGTAAGGACCTGAGAGAGTGGGACTTGGTGGAAGGTGGACAACTTGAATGAAGAAACTTTCTAATTTCATGTTCTTAGGAACTAATTATAGTCAGAAAAGCAAAAGACTTAAAATGGCTCTTGGTCATCTCTAGGAATATATTCCAAAAGGTTCTAAAAAGATGTGCCTTAGGTCGGGCACGGTGGCTCACGCGTGTAATCCTAGTACTCTGGGAGGCCAAAGCAGGCGGATTGCTCAAAGTCAGGAGTTCGAAACCAGCCTGAGCAAGAGAGAGAGAGACCCCCGTCTCTACTATAAATAGAAATTAATTGGCCAACTAATATATATAGAAAAAATTAGCAGGGCATGGTGGCACATGCCTGTAATCCCAGCTACTCGGGAGGCTGAGGCAGGAGGATTGCTTGAGCCCAGGAGATTGAGGTTGCTGTGAGCTAGGTTGACACAACACTCCAGCCTGGGCAACAAAGTGAGACTCTGTCTCAAAAAAAAAAAAAAAAAAAGAAGAAGAAGAAGAAGATATGCCTTAAAGATTCATATGTATATCGTAAATTTTTAAAACTCCATATTTTCTGATGCTTAAACATCCCCACAAACAGGCTATAAACATCCCACCCAGTTGACATACATGCACCAGTGTGATAAGACTGGCCCCTGCCACAAGTTTCCCTGTTTGCCCAATCCTGAATGTAACTTAGTGACCTCCTCCCATATCTTTCTCTAGTTCACTATCTCTGCCTCCCATATTCACTTGGCTTAAAAATTGCCTTAACAGCAAATGCTGAATTATTATAAATAAAAGGAATCTGTCTTTTTAGTGTAGGAATTCCCAAGTAAGTATATGTATGTGCAATGACCTACAAAGTACTGAACTTCACATCTTTCCTGTAAAGACTCTGCTGCCACATTTGGGAGCATTTTGTTGTTGTTTTGTGAATGTTTAACTGAAATAGTGGAGGAACTAATGGTACAATAAGCTCAAAAAATGTACAGGATTGAGGGAAAAGATTTATGGTGCAAATTGAAGAGCATTTAAGATTCAATAGAGAAAAGGATAATGGGGGAGCATGGTCAGAGTATATAAATCTAAATTTATATTCAAATTTATATAAATCCAGTACATACAAGCAGGTAAGTCCTAAATGCTTGTCTGTGCTGGATTGTGGAGGGGTGGGGCAGGGGGAATCTAATTTTCCATTAATTTCCATGAATTCCTGACTGATTCATTGCTAAAAACAAATAATAAAATGTTGTATTTGAAAGTTTGATTTTTGCTTTTTTTAGTGTAGAGATTCTAAGATTTGTTCATTACAAATATGTAACCCTGTCAATGGGTTCTATGCCTCCCATCCCTATGTCTCTTTTAGAGTTTTAGAGCCCACTTCGTTATTTTATAAATGCTTCATCACTCTTAGGGCGGTGAGTGAGTGCTGATAAAACATGGATTGAAGCCCCACTGAAGAGGAGGTACAGAGGGGCCTTCAGATGCAAATGACCAGAGTGCTCCAGATTGGAAAGAATTGTAGAGTGAACTTTGGAAGGCAGAGTGTCCACAGAGCTGGCAGTTACCTCCTGTCTATTCAATATCTCCTAGGCTGAAGCTCCTGAGGGACCCACATCAGTCTTTTGCTACCTCAGAAAGGCCAGGGTTGGCAGTTTTCCCAAACTCCTGCCTCCCCAGATGTCTGTTCATCCTCACCCTCCTGCAGCTGCCCAAGCTGAGTGCAGGTAGGTCTCTCTCTTCTCTCTCTCTCTGGCCTACAGGATTGAAAGTAAACATCCCATTTGGCTCTCCCCAGAGATCTCCACTGGGATCCAGACAGACCCTCTCAGGCTGTCCAAGGAATAAGAGGCAGAGAGGGGAGACTCTGGGCTTTGGTGGGAATCTGGTCCTAGTCAGTTCCCAATTCCCACCCCACAGCCTGTATGATCTGGCTCATTTTGGGCAGCTCACTTTGACGCAATTGGACCCCTGGAGCCCATCCTGGCCATGGAGGGCAAAGACACCAAGCTGCCCTGTCACCTGTCCCTGAACATGAGTGCGGAGCGCATGGAGCTACGTAGTTCTGGAGGAAGGTCTCACTGGCCGTGTTGGTACACCAAGAAGGGCAGGAAGGGCAAGAGGAGAAAGAAGAGTAGATGCCTCATGTCTTATTCACCTACATATTTGTTATCTCTCTCTCCTTGTACCCTTTAGTTGTCACTAATTATTATGTCTTATTTCTTAATTTTTCCTTCCATCTTAGGAATATATGTTTATCTTCAGAGAGGCCTTACTGTTAAATAATAATATATCCTTCTTTCAAATTCTTCCACTGAGTAGAAATCACTATTAATTTTAATTTATAATAAAAAAACAAGTCTTTCTCTTTCCATTTGCATTCAAACTTTCAAATGACTACTAACTCTTACTGACTCCCGTCCTTTCATTTAATCCCCTCTCAAAGATTTCCTTAATTCAGTTCAATTACATTTTGGTCCTCATCTTTCTTGATAATTCTGACTCTGATAACTATGCCTTCCTTCTAAAGACTATCTCCAAATTTACCATGTAAAATTTTCCATTTTCTTGTTTCTTTCACTTTTTTTTCTCCCCTGTAGCTATGTACGAGTGGAAAAGTAGTGAGTCAGAGTGAAGAAAATTATCTTCAAAGTTTTCTCCCCTCCCTCAGATAAGGAAGTCTTGGCAGAGGTGACTGAGGAAAGCCTCTGCCAAAGACCTCAGATGAAGAAGCCTCTGAATGGTGTCTGGGTTGGAATGCAGATGTATAGGAGCATGAACAACTGAGGGGATCTGAGTCTCTGACAGAATCTCTCTTGGGAGACTATAATATACTGGCTTTGCAGTGAGTCTAGTGTGAGTAGGGTAGCTTTTCCCCAGGAGGACTGACAGGTAAGCCTTGTAATTGCCTATGGTTTAGTTTGAAAAAAATAACATGTTTTTGGCCAGGAGCCAGACTCCTCCTGTCCTATAAATATTATGTTCTATTTTCAATTTTCATTCAGTTCAGGATATTTTTTAATTTCCCTTGAGACTTCCTGTCAAAAGATAAAATTACAATAAATTTTGTCTAAAGATCTTAACTGGCTTTTATTTGCAATTCTAGAATTGGGTAACACTTCATTCTATAAAATTGAATGACTGCTCCAGTGAGCTGAGCAGAGGAGGTTGGCTTTATAGACAGAAAAGGACTGGAAAGCAGTTGAAAGTTAATTTCTTTATAAAGGTTAAAGCAGAGGGGACTTCCTTATGCTGACTAAAACTGGCCTGTTTAGGGATTTGGCAATTATCTCTCTTTCATTCCTGATTTTTTTGAAGGTTAAATAAACAACATAATGTTGGCCTGGTGGCATGGAACTTCAGCATGAGTGACTCCATTTTGGTTTGGTTTGTTGGGCCTAGTGCAGAAGCTCAGTCCATACCAATGGCTTCTTGTAAATTTTATTTAACATCATTATTTTTTAGCAGCTTCCCTTTTCATACTTATACTATTACCTTTTCATCCTTTTCGTGAGTAGAAATTCTTAATTTTAATGAATTCTAATTTATCAGTTTTTACTATTATGATTAGTCCTTTAATGTATCTTGTTTAAGAACTCTGCTTACCACCCCCCCCCCCAGGTCATGAAAATATTCTCCTAGTTTTTGTTTTGTTTTGTTTTCATATTTAAGTCTGGGATCCATCTTGAATTAAGTGTTTGGATGGTGTAGGGTGGAATGAAGTTTAACTCTTAGAAAGGGATTTGGACAAGATTAAAAGAAAGGTCAGAGTTCAGGCCTCAGGTAGCTATTATTGAGTAACAAATCACCTCAAATTCACTGACTTAAACCAACAATCATTTATTATTGTTCATATTTTTGGGTGTCAGCTGAGTGTGGCTGATCTAGTATGATGTTGAGTTCTTATGACTTCAGGGCCCCTCTTTCCAGCATCTGCCTTACTGACCTCATGGCCAGTTATCCACTTCTTCAGGAAAAGTTTTTAGAGATATTAATCTTTCTCTAAAAATCTCCTCCTAAAGAAGTTGAAGATCAAAAACAAAACAAAACCAAAACACTTGAAGAAAAGTAATATTTCAATAGTGCCTGCTTTAAAAGGAGGGGTGGAGGTTCCTCAAGAAAGCAGACTTAACTCCTGACTCTATGTGAATGTGAGATAGAAGAAGAGAAGACAGGAGAGTCTCCAACCAAAGGCAAGATCCTTTCCCACTTCATGTCACATATTGTGATTCTACAGGAAAAGTGTTCTTCCCCTTTCCTGCTTACCTCCCCTTATCTCCACTCACTCCCCTGCTTTTCCTCATTCCCCATGTTGCATTTATTAGTCTGGAGGGATTTCAACATCAATTCCAATTGTTTAATATTTTTTTCTTTATTTCACATGCCCTTTCTTAGCATATCTCTTGTTTATTTCCCTTTCTTTCTCTCAAAAGAAATCAAATCCTTTCTGAGAGGGTCAGGGTGGAATTGGGGCCTCCACTTTTGCTGTGGGAGGGAAGATGGGAGGGAGCATAGATACAGCAGGGACAGGAAGGGGTTGAGTTATCCCCAACCCCTTCCCCCATGCAATCTGGAGGAAAGCTGCACTTTCTCAGAGTTTCTTTGTATATATATATATATATATATATGTATATATATATATATATATACACACATATATATATATATTATTTTATTTTATTTTTTAAAGAGATCAGGTCTCTCTCTGTCCCCCAGGCTGGAGTGCAGTGGCACAATCATAGTTCACTGCAGCTTTGAACTCCTGGCTTCAAGCCACCCTTCCCCCTCACCTTCCCTTCTTTCCCCAAGTAGCTGGTACTACAAGCAAACATTACTACCACCATTTCCACCTCTTTCTGGAGTTTCTCATCAACTGCTCCTGGTTGTTTTCTAGTATTATTCCAAGTTGCTCTCCAGAGTATTTTGTTTTAGCTTCCTTACTCTAAGGTTAATTCTCTACTCTGTGGCTGCAACATGTCTCAGACTTCTCATTTGGGCAATATTTTTCTTTTGGAAATGAAAAGGGGAGAAAACAGAGACAGGCAAGATGAATTTAATTCCTAGTAAGTTAAACTATGGCAGGCTACTTGTTAGGGGTGTTTATGTTTCAAAGAGATTCAAACTTTAGACATGTGCTTGGACTCATACCCTTCCTGATGATTTCTGTTCAAAAGTCATCTAAATCTAGAATCTAGAAATATGATTCTAGCTTTTTCAAAATTAGAAGGGACAATAAATAAAACTCAAATACCTTTAAATCTGAGAGAGAATGTGGACTCTGAGGGAAAAAAAGCCTGACAGCTATCAGGTGGGAGCTGGCCAGGCACTTCCAGCTAGGCAGTGTGTTTCCTACTTCAAATAAAATAACAATTTCACAGCACATTAACCATCTAACCAGGCTATTCTGATAGTTATTGAGCAAGATAAAAGCTAGACTACTCCATAATCATGCCAGAGCACAAAAACAAGAATACAAGGCAAATCACATGACCATACATCGCCCCCTCCTGGCTAACTCGAGGAATTGCTACTTCTTTCCCAATTGCTACTCAGCCCCCTATCCATTCCACTTTTCCACTTCCTAATGAAAAGTATTAAAATGCCCAATCATATAATAGAATTGGCTCCTGACAGCCTTCATCCAGAGCAAACCCTTGCTTTCTTGAACCTTTCCCAAATGACCTAAAATCAGCTTATATCCTATAACAAATTTCTCTCATTAGTGACTTGCTGTACCTCCTAATTCCCCATGGTGTGTGGAATCCCCGAAAGTGTGTGGGATCCATGTTGCTGTAACAAGTACCAATAAACCGGTTTGGCTGGACCCCTGATGGCTGTGGCTGGCAGTCTTCAGCATGGCCATAAGCAGTGAGAATCCCACCATGAGCCTCCTGTGCCCACTCTACTCACCCCAAACTTGGCCCTAGACTTTTAGTTCCCAGATGTAACAAAATCTCTTAGCACCCAAAGCCAAAAGGAACTTCCTACAGATTTCTAAGAACAAAAACCAGAACAAAAAGTATGTTCATGATTTATTGATAATGTTTCAGTAATAAGGTATTCACAGAAAGGAACAGTTGTTTCATTGTATGCTTCATGTACACATTCCATCTTCCTTCCCACATCTTTAACTCAAATGATAATTGGTTTAGTTTTGTTTATTCTCCAAAGAAATTCATTAAAAGGCATGGAAAATTCCGAGTTTTTCCTCCATTTTTCCACAAACAATAAGCCTTTTATAAACTCCTCAGCTACTGTAGAATTTAAAAAAAAAAAACAAAAAAACCCCACAATTGTGTATAGGTTGGTGGCTCTTCACTTGTCCAGGATTCTGAGCTCCTACCTCCCCAAAATTGAAAACTCAGGATACTTGAAAATGAAAAATACTGACAGTATTTTAGTGAAGAGAATGGAGAGAAAAGAGATGATGGTAATTGTTTCAATGCTTTCCTTAGGAGATAACAGATCTCTTAGAAATTGACCACAACATTAGCTGACCCATTTCTCCTTCCCCAAATCCTTGAAGGCACACTAACTGTGGCCAATTAGGGAGGAAGTCAGGAGAGTGTGCGTGTGGGGTGGGGCTGAGGGACTGAGGTCTGGAGCTGGGAGTAGAGATCAGTGAGCAGGCTGGAAAAAGTCCTTCTGAGAATACCTGACAATTTCTAGCACAGTGTCCCATTTCATTAGGGAAGAGAGTTGCTTTCTGAATCTCTCTTTCTATTGG